CAAGACGCCAGCCGGTGTTACCTGTCCAAGAGATGGCGGGACGACCACCTGATGAAAAGTGGTAACCGTCGCCTATAGACATGAGCAGTACCATGGACATAACAGAGTATACTGTTTCGCCCATGATACCCCCCATGCGTTGCCATTCCTGAGGACTCAGGTGTTATTCCTCTGTACCCAGTAAATTCACGCCATATCCCACCCTTCAAACCGAAACACAGCCATGCAAACACAACTGCTTCACGGTTGAAACACGAATGGGACAGAGGTACCCACGCAATCGACTTTCGTACAAAGTCTCCCTCTGGACTTGCTCCAGAGACGTGTTTTAAAGGACTTGGATGGAGTGACAACAACCCAACAACTGATGGACTTACTAAAATTTCATTGGGAACATTTGCCACAGGATAACATTAACAGTCTCATCGATTCTATGAATAATCGGTGCCAACAAGTTCTTCATAACAGAGGAGGCCACACTTTGTATTAATTTCTGCAATTTTTGTACAACCATTTAATTTTAGTTTAAGTTTAATTGGTTAAGCATTTTACCTTGTACTACGTACATACAGTACTTATTCGTAATTATTTTTAATTAAGATTATTAAAATAAAAATAAAAAAAAATAAAAAAAATTGCTGTTTAATATCAAAAAAGCATTAAAAAATAATATAAATAAGAAAATACTAAGGATTTAATGCGAAAACAGATTGTAATATTTAAATTTGTATGTATTGCTTATACTTTTTTGATGTGTGTAGTATGTACACAACTAGCTGTTTACTAACGTTATTTTTATATGGTAAAGTTGTTTATATTTGCAACTCTATCATAATTCTTTTTCTGATTATGTGTACCTAATTGCTGATTGAGATAATATTCGATAAGACATTTTAATACATTGTTTTATAGAATTGGGTAATTAGAAATTCTAGATTGATTGTTATTTATTCAATTGATATGTAAAATTCGCAGTACCCACCTACATTTTTTTTGATGGGTGAAAATGGAATGGTAGCTCCGCCTACGTTAACGGGATACGCTGGCGGAGCACCAGTGAAGGGTGATTGATGAGAATGAAAACAGGTCAGTTAGCCCATCATGATGAATTCATCAGGAATTAACCATGATAGTTTCCAGGGGGAACCGCATGGAGGTCGACCTAGTTGGGTATATTGCTAGCAATAGGATTTTTAGTCTCCATTACTAACAATCCCTTTCTCCCTACCCACCTACATTATAAAAAGTTTATAGTCTGCACCAAAATAACATAATTTATACAGCGACTAAACAAACAGATGTTTCCTTCGTAGCACGTATTTAAATGATTATATGTTTGCATTTTAGTACATTATGTGGCTTTAAAAAGAAAATTGGCTTTTACCTAAATCAAATCAATAATTAAGAGGATATTTTGCAAATTTATTATAAACTCAGATAGATATTTATTATATTTATTTTTCACTAGATGGACGTTATCTCGTTAAAATTTTAATAAAATTTATGTAAACTTTTTATGAATTTGTGATAGGCATTGAATATGTAAGAATAATATAAAGTTGTGTTTCACAACAAAAACCAACTTCGATTATGACAGAACCGATAATATTGATTTAAAAACTAAACTATGGAACCGATTTTGATAAAGTTTCTATAGGTCTAATCTGTACGTACTAAATTAAATGGCAACTTTTCTCTCTCTCTCTCTTTTTTCTACTACTGAGCTGACAAACATGCATACGGCCCACTTGATGGTAAGCGGTTACCTTAGCCTATGAACTATAACTATAACAGGGGTATTAGGCGCGTTGCCGACCCTAAAGAAACCTCTTTACCCTGTGGGGGGAGAGGGATTGTTAGTAATGGAGACTGAGAATCCCATTGCTAGCAATATACCCAACCAGGTCGACCTCCTCGCGGTTCTCCCTGAAAACTATCATAGTTAATTCCTGATGAATTCATCATGATGGGCTAACTGGGCTGTTTTCATTCTCATCTATCACCCTTCACTGGTGTTCCGCCAGCATATCCCGTTAACGCAAGCGGGGTTGCCATACCACGTTTACCGATTAAAAAAAAACCTCTTTACCCCGTTAGAAGAACCACATGCTGTAGTCTCTTGGGGAAACCTCGGCAGAGAGCTGATATATAACCATATAACCAATATATAACCATAACATGAATGTTCGTGGGAGAAAACATCTCTAAAACCGCGTTGTACACGACGTTCCCTGTCGATGGCGAGCCATACGATGGTAGAAAATGACCGTGGGCATCATGTTGATCAATTTTTTTTATCACAATCCATTGACAAGCAGTAGAACACGTAGAGTGAGGCAAAATCTCACCTAAGACTTAAGTGTTTCTTATAGCTCAACTGAGTCGAAGGGTTCAAGCTGGTATCTAGTTGCTCCCTCCCATAAGTGAGAGCAATACTCCATGTGGGGCCGAACTTGCGCTTTATAAAGCATCAATCATTGATCCGGCATGAAGTTATGTTTCACTCTATTAAGCACACCGAGTTTTTTGGATGCCAGATTCACCTTATCTTCGAGGTGGCCACGGAACTGTACGTCAGTAGAGATGTTGACGCCAAGGATCACAACATTTTTAGAGATGTTAAGAAACGTGCCCTAGAATTGTGGATTCACAGCAATTGGGGCCTCTCTAGGTAATTTTTAATAATTTTGTTAATAATATATCTTATTAGGTGCAGCACCACCAAGTCCCCCCTTCCAACCATCGTGGTTAATTTCTGATGAATACATCGTGAAGTGCTAATAGCTTTTATCTCCTTACTACTGCTAAATACATTGTCTAGTCATAAGAATATGAAGCAAAAAATAAAGAAATCATCTAATAGGTTTTTAATCTCAATTTTTTTAATGTATTATAATTGAATGGTAATGTAGCCTGCGCTTCGGTATACGCTGTCGGGGTACCAGTGAATGATGATAACTGAGGACAAAAGCCGGTCAGTTAGCCCATCGTGACAAATTCAAGAACTAACCGCTATAGTTTTTAAGAGGAACAGAGTGGAAGTATGGTATATTGCTAGCAATGGGGTTATTAAAATCCATTACTAACAATTCCTGATAGGAAGACTGTACAAAAGTCGTTTGCTGTATGGTCACTTGTCCCGAAGAATACGTCTGGCGAGAACGGTGACTGACAATAATTCGGGGCGGTGCAACCCGGGCTACGGCGGTAAGTAACTTCTCTTTAAAGATCTTACTTGCCGACAACTGATATTCAGGCGAAGGAAGCGGCAATGTTTAATAAGGTAGTCGCGTGATGGAAAGGAGTTCTATCTCCCAGATGGTGAATCGTGACTTCGCCACTGGGCGAGGTCTCCGGTGGGTCGACGGGTCCGATGGGTGTTTCACTACGCAACCGGACAAGCCGTGTGCCACCATCGTCAAACCGTAGCCCCAGTGATGGGGCTGGAGGCCTTGGCTTAACCGCCCGGGCTGCAATAAGCAAACCTCTATAAAATCCTCTTGTATGAGCTTGGGTGCTCGACGATACACAGTTCACTCTGCGAAGCATGCTGCCGGTAATATTGGCTGCTAGATTACCACCTTTGGGGCACCTGCTACACCCCATCGTATATATGCCACACGCGGAAGCAGGGGGTTCTCCTGCGTGTGACGAAATTCCCCATACTTGTGAGATGTACATGGAGAAATGGAAAATAGAACTTAAAGAGAAAGTCGATACCAGGTTCGTAAAGGACGAAGTTCTTGATGAAGAGTCGGGCGTGTCGTATAACGAATATGTCTACCAGGACATTGATTTCTGGTTTTACTCAGAAAATATGAGTGGAAGGAGGATTAGTAAACGTCTTAGAGCCAGGGTTGCTCGTGAGATCAACAGCGAGTATTCACAATCGACCCCTTGCACAACTCTAGCGAACGAGAATATAGAAGACGTAGACAATGTTTCGTTTCATCGGAAATCGTGCATTTCGGAGTCAGGCTTGGAATCGGCACTTGAGGGCCCAAGTTGCTCTCGTGCAATTTCCAAAAAGAGTAACAAGATGCCAGGCGCAGGTTCCTAGGTTCAAGCCTCTTCGGGTGCTGTGAAAAAAACAAATACAAAAAGTGTGGCGGATAAAGTCAATCCAGCGGACTTGTCACTCGAAGGCAATAGGGCTCGTTGAACGAGTAACATCATATTCTTTGATGAGAATGGTGCTTCCGAGACAGTGGAAGCGGCTGCTAGAATAGGCGAAGAACCGTCAATAGATAAACGGCCCAGCCGCTCCCTAGTGTTGGGTAATCCCCGCATGAATATCAGAAGCATCAAGACTCGTGCAAAATAATTCGAAATTGCTGGAGCACCTTGGATTTGAGTTCGAGAGAGAGCGGCCCAGTGCCTCTACGCGTAGCGCAAGCACACACACAGGAGCATGAATACACTAAGGCGTTCGCAAGAATTATCCGTTCTTGTAAGAACCTGAAAAGAACGTCCATCAAGGAGCAAATCGTGGGAATTACAAGGATAGGTAGTAATAGTAATGGCGCGTAACCTTAAATTGAAAATGAAGCTGCGCAAGCTCCGTAAAGAGGTGACAGAACTGCGCAACTCTAAAACGGCTGCGCCGTCTAAGAAGGTGATTTCTGACAGCAAGTCTAAGCTCTCCGTAGGGAGTGTTCTAAATGCGCGAAAGGCAAATATTTACGATCCAAAAATCGATTTAAAAATGAAGACAGCGGGATCGATCTAAATATCTAACATAAAAATTGCATCATTATGTACCCATGTCGAATCAATAATTTTACCCATAATCGGAAATTCAACTTTGTATAAAAAAAGTTTAAAGCATTTCTAGCATCTTTAAATGTTTGAATATTGACTGACAGAAAAAAACGTCAGTCAACAGAAAGTTTTGAGTGAAATCAATCAAACAAAGGTCAAAAATCTTGTTTACGGATTTACTTATTTTTGTAGAATTTGTATTTAAAACTAAATACTTATTTGTTATTGCCAATTCTAGATGTCAATCCAGATTTAGTAACTAAATATTTATTTCTTGTTTCTAATTTCCTAGTGGAACTTTTGAACGATATTTGGAATACACATTTATTTATCAAACTGTTATCTATTGAATAAGCGCGTAACATTTATATTGAGGCGCCCATTAACTTGTTTAGTGTGATAGTTTCTTATCGCTGTCTACTCTATAAATAGGGTAGCGCAAACTACTCACTGGTATTTGCGCCTTCGGTACGTGTATAGTGCGTCGCTCCGTTTTGTTGTGTACAAATTTTTCAAAATGGCTTCAAGGGATCCTGCAGCGGATCAACTAGTAAATTACAGGAAATCTCGACAGGTAAGTTATTGTTACAAACTTCTATGTATTTTAAACTTAGTTAACGCATTGCTTTAAGATTGGTATTTGAATTAGATTGTTCTTTTTTAGCAGTTAATCTATTTAAAAGAAATCGGACAATTTTTTTATAGTACATATAAAAATTCTCGTAAATAACTAGGAGTATTACTGCATATTTCAGTAAACGAAGAGAATATACTAATTTTTCCAAACATCGTTTCTGTCTATTAAGTACGAAATAAGTTCTATAACAAATGACCTTTGCCCAAACAAAATTGAACTTGTCATTTCGGTTCATGTTACAATGCGAGAATATTTTACGCCTTAATTTATTCTGGTACTTATTGTAAAAAGTATCTTCTTAATAATTATTTACATTTTTGTAAAAAAACATAGATGACTAGAGGATTTTAAAACTGTACAATCTTTTAAAAATAGGTACCTACAAATAGGACATTGGTCTAATAAATTATACATACTTTGGATTTACATTCTGTTTGTCCATATCTACATAATGCGAATGTTTTTGTCTTTAATTAAATTTAAAGTGTCTATTTACATTCAATTATCTTAAATATTACACTAATTATTTAGTAAAAACCTAAGCCAATTTATAACCTTAATTTTATGCTAGTATGTCCTATGTGCAGATATTTATGCAAAGCGAATGTTTTTTTTTATAATAATTATCAATTAATCTCACTTGTAATATCTATATTCTATATTGTAAAATTAGTGTACTTACTATTTTAGTAATCTATAAAGTAAATATTCTTTTAGTCAACAAGTTTTAAATATTTTTTCAAGATGTTACTTACTTATTGAGATTATTAAGATTTAATATTTATAATTAATAAGTATAAGCATACACATCATTTAGATTTAGCTCAGACCAGAACAATTTACATTTATTACATTATCTAAAAACATGACCTCTTAAAAACATCAAAATAAATAATTATAACTGATTCTCATTGCCTTTCCCATGTGAGTCTGTATTAAAATAGCCTATATATTAATCTAGGATTATATGAATCCAGGATATAAGTGCATATTAATTTTAATTAGTTCAACTCTGTGATTGAATAACAAAACACCCAAATGTAAAATAAAAAAGGCAAAATTAATTCAGATGTCAAATGTAGGTAACAACAACTAATACAACTTTCACATTTACAATATTATATAGTAATATAAAATCAAATTATGTGTATTAATAATATTTATTATTTCTTTTTCAGGATGCTCCTGGTTTCATCACTACAAAAAATGGAACACCAGTTGGAATTAAGACTGCATCACAGACTGTTGGAAGGAATGGACCACTACTACTCCAGGATGTCAATTTTATTGATGAGCTCTCTGCCTTTGATAGGGAGCGTATTCCAGAACGTGTTGTACATGCCAAGGGTGCAGGTGCTTTTGGATACTTTGAAGTGACCCATGACATCACCAAATATACTGCAGCTAAAGTCTTTGAATCTATTGGAAAAAGAACTCCTCTTGCAGTCCGATTCTCAACTGTTGGTGGAGAAAGTGGGTCTTCTGATACTGTCCGAGATCCTAGAGGATTTGCTGTGAAATTCTACACTGAAGATGGCAATTGGGATCTTGTTGGAAATAACACCCCCATATTCTTTATTCGCGATCCTATATTGTTCCCAAGCTTTATTCATACACAAAAAAGAAACCCAGCTACCCACTTAAAAGATGCTGATATGTTTTGGGACTTTTTAACTCTAAGACCTGAATCAGTTCATCAAGTTCTGTATTTATTTGGTGACAGAGGTATACCTGATGGGTATAGGTATATGAATGGTTATGGGTCTCACACATTTAAATTTGTAAATGCACAAGGTGTAGCTCACTGGGTGAAATTCCACTACAAAACTAACCAAGGTATCAAAAACTTGCCTGTCGAAAAGGCAGCTGAACTGGCTTCATCAGACCCAGATTATTCTATTAGGGATCTGTATAATGCTATTGGTAGAGGTGACTATCCATCATGGACCTTTTATATTCAAATCATGACTTTGGCACAAGCAGAAAAATGCAAATTTAATCCATTTGACTTGACCAAAATTTGGCCTCATTCTGAGTATCCTCTAATTCCAGTTGGAAAAATTGTCTTGGATCGCAATCCTAAAAACTATTTTGCAGAGGTTGAGCAAATAGCATTCAGCCCCGCTCACCTAATCCCAGGTATTGAACCCTCACCAGACAAAATGTTGCAAGGACGTTTGTTCTCTTATGTGGACACTCACCGCCACCGCCTTGGTGCAAATTACTTACAAATTCCCGTTAATTGCCCATACAAAGTCAGAGTTGCGAATTATCAGCGTGATGGACCACAATCAATTCAGAATCAAGAAGGTTGTCCAAACTATTTTCCAAATTCATTCTCTGGCCCACAAGAATGCCCCCGTGCTCAACGTTTGCAACCACGATACAATGTTAGTGGAGATGTGGACAGATATGACAGTGGTCAGACTGAAGACAACTTCTCACAGGCTACAATTCTTTATCGGGACGTTTTTGATGATGCAGCTAAGCAGCGTGTTGTTAACAACCTTGTTGGCAGCCTTAAGGATGCCGCTGGCTTCCTCCAGGAAAGAGCTATTAAGGTGTTCACACAAGTACATCCTGACTTAGGCAGCAGAATTGCAGCTGGTTTGTCCACCTACAAGAAATATCACGCCAACTTGTAAGAAGCACATGAAATGGACGGGTGTTATTTATGGTAGCTTTAAGTTTATTTTTTTTAATTGCATATATTTTTAGGGACCGAGGTTTTTAATGATAATGAAATGTATATTGGTTTAGTTAACTACTAATTGCATTTTACATTTTTTATTCAGACTGATATAATAATTGTAATTTATTTTTGTATACTGATTATGGGTTACTGCATGATATGAATTTATAATTCTGTATGTCATGAACAAATATCTACTTGTATACTGTATCTTTTTATATATATATATATATATATATATTATATAAATGTTGTCATAATAATAATACAAACTCTTTTGCAAAAAAGGGCGCTTTTGTAGCAAGTAACACATTGGACATTTTAAAATTCTAAAATTTTAAAATTATTATTGCTAAAGAAATCAATATAATGAAATATAGTAGATGTAGTATGTTTTATACAAAAACAGATATGAGTGTGTTCACTGAGAATGCATTCTATCTAATTTATTTGAGTGTTTTGGCACGTTTGCGCGTAAGCGGTGGTTTAAGAAACATACTACCACTACTGCTATTTGGTTGCGGGTTCGAACCCGGCGGTGTCTCAGCAGTGCGGTACGGTGCATCCATCGTGCCACCGATACATACGTCCGACCTTGTTTCCGATGTTTTTTGGTTTAAAACCTTAGTAACCACGGCTGGTTCAGCTTTGTTTATTTCAAACTTTACTTCCGGTGGTTCACATTTGATTAAATGACGACGATTACGTCGATATTTGGTTCCTATTTTATTTTCTATAATATAAGAACGAGGCGTATCAGCCGTGCTTACTACAGTGGCCCTAGTACGATTTTTACCATCATTACATATTACTTGGTCACCTTTTTCTAACTTGCATAGCGTTTTACAATGCCGATCATAGTATCCCTTATTGGACTTTTGCTTATAGACCAAGGTATGATATTCTGTTTCATTTACAAGTTTTGGTTTTAATATTTGTACGCTGGCCGGAAGTTTACATCTTAATCTGCGACTCATTAACATCTGTGCAGGAGAGCTTAAACCTTCTCTAGGAGTATTTCTGTAATTCAATAACGCTAATTGAAAATCTCCTCCTGTCTTAATTGCTTTACTCAACAGTGACTTAACTGTTTGTACAGCACGCTCACTCTTTCCATTTGACTGAGGATAGTTGGGTGAAGAAGTCACGTGATGAAAACTCCAGTCACTAGCAAATAATTTGAACTCGCGACTACTAAATTGAGTGCCGTTGTCACTTATTAATATTTCAGGTATACCATGACGAGAAAATACTTCCTTTATATTTTGTATGACTGTATATGAGGTAATATTTTGTAAATTACATACTTCAACATAATTAGAATAATAATCTACGACAATCAAATAATATTTTCTTCTGTACTCAAAAATATCAGTACCTACTTTCGTCCACGGCAAAGGGGGTATCTCTACTGGAATCATAGGTTCCTTTGCTTGTGCATTTAAACTCTCCTGACAAGTGGTACAACGCTTTCCATGAGACTCAATGTCGCGTGACATATTCGGCCAATACATAACCTGTCTCGCTCGCCGCTTGCACCGATCTATACCGAGGTGGCCCTCGTGCACGAGCCGCAGCATTTCAGCTCGCAAACTCGAAGGTATCAGTATTATACTATCTTTAAATACTACAGAATCGACGACATATAACTCGTCCTTTATTGCCCAAAACACTTGTAATTCTATTGGTAAGTTATATTTATGGTCTGGCCATCCCGTTTTTATATACTCGATCAGTGCACATAGAATCTTGTCCTGTTTAGTTTCCTTTTTAATTAATGCCAATTTTGAATTAGATATCGGTATATTGCCCACCACCATTTGAACTTGGTACAGTACATTCTGTTCCACTTCCACACTATATAGCTCAGGAAGCGGCGCTCGAGACAGTGCATCAGGAACATACATATACTTTCCTGGCTTATAATTAACTAATAGATCATAAGTTTGTATTCTTAACAACATGCGTTGTAAGCGAGCTGGGACCGACATCAGTGGTTTTTTAAAAATACTTTCTAAGGGTTTATGATCCGTTTCCACCAATATTTTAACCTTACCATAAATATATTGGTGGAATCGTTCGCATGCAAAAACTATGGCCAGCATCTCTTTTTCGATTTGCGCGTAACGCCGTTGGGTGTCGGTGAGTGTGCGCGAAGCGTATTCGACGGGTCGGCCGGCCTGCAGCAGCACGGCTCCGAGCGCGTCGCGCGATGCGTCCACTGACAGCACTAGCGGCCGCGATACGTCGTACAATGCCAACACCGGCGCGCGACACACGCTTTCTTTTAATGCAAAAAATGATTTTTGTTCCGTATCTTCCCAACGTCATTCATTTTCCTTTTTTAATAAATTGGTTAACGGTAACGCGCTCTCAGAATGATTCGGTATAAATTTTGACAAATAATTTACCGCTCCCAAAAATCGCTGTAAACTTTTCTTATCATTCGGTTCTGGCATCTCCTTTATGGCTTTTATTTTGTTATAGTCTGGTCGCATACCGTTCTTATCAAATACGTGCCCTAAATATACAACTTCTTCTACACCCACTTTGCATTTATCTTTGTTAAATTTTAAATTTATATTTCGTGCTCGATTTAATAGTGCAACCAGCCTATCGTCATGTTCTCGTTTCGTCTTTCCCCAAACAATAATATCATCGACGAAGCTATCCACCCCTTCCAAGTCTTCTAAGAGTTGACGCATTTTCGCATGGAATACCTCTGAGGAACAATTAATTCCAAACGGTAACCGAAGGAACTGATAACGGCCAAAGGGAGTTGCGAAAGTACAAAGATCTACACTTTCCTCATCGAGTTGCACAGCCCAAAAGCCTGAGTTGGCATCAAGTACCGAAAAATAACAGGCGCCATGTAAACGTGTCGCTAACTCCGTTACTGTGGGCAGCTGGAAGTGTGCGCGCTGTACCGCGCGGTTTAGATCGCGCGGGTCTAGGCATATGCGAATGCCATTATTTTTTTTAGCAACTATAACTAATGGATGAACCCACGGGGTAGGATGATATACTTTCCTAATGATACCTAATTTTTCCATTTTTTGTAACTCTAGTAATAATCTATCCCGTATCCCTAACGGTATTTTTCTGGAAGCACATACGACAGGGCGTATGGAATTATCGACTACAATGTGATACTTTCCGGGCAGACATCCTACTCCTTGAAATAAGTCACTATAATCTGTTAAATTTATTCCATAAATTCTTTTTACTAATTTCATTAATTCACATGATTTTCGGCCCAGCACGCTTTGACAATCATTGTCTGCTATCGCAAATCTCAAATTATATATAGTATTTTTATACACCCACTTCATGCTGCATGTACCTTTAATAGGTATTTTATCCCCACTGTATGCTTCTAGCTTTATATTAGTATTTTTAATATCACATTCATTATAACCTAGTTCTATGAATCTCCTGTATGATATTACATTTATGTCCGCCCCTGTGTCCAATTTAAAATTTTCTTCCCCGTTCGTACAAGTCAAAATTTCAAACCACTTTCCTGATTCACTTTTGTTATCAGTAATTACTGATATGTGAAACGATTCTTCCTCGTCTGACTCGGTATTCGCTTCTTCTTCGCCGATTTCGTATACGTGCCTAACTCTGCCACTGTTGAAATTAGTATTGTAACCAGACTTACATACTCGAGCGAAGTGTCCTCGTTTACCGCATACAAAACAAGTGGCATTCTGAGCCGGACACTGCTTCTGCTGGCAGCGCACCCTGGCACCGCAGCCAGAGCAGGGCGCGGCGTGCACAGGCGTGAACCGACCGTCGGCGCGGCGTGGCGCCGGCGCGCGGCCGCTCGGCCCGCCGGCGCGCCGCCCGCGGCGCCCGCCGCTTCCCCGGCACTGCTCAACACTATTCACTTGTACACACTCACTACCACTGACAGTGAAACAATTCAGCTGCCGACCGCTCTCCTGTGATGTTTCCTCGGCGATGCACAAATTCATAGCTTTTTCCAAGGTCAAATCTTCGTGTCGTAATAGCCTATCCCTGACAGTCGCACTGCGTACCCCACATACTATACGATCTTTAATCAAATCCTCTTCTAGCGATAAGAATGCACACTTCTTGCTAATAAGACGTAACGCCGTCACGTACTGTTGAATGCTTTCACCTTCTTCCTGATTTCTCGTGAAGAATTTATATCTAAGTAATGTAATATTTTCTTTAGTTCCAAAATAACTATCGAATTTTTTTAGTACTTCATTTACGTCATCTTTATCTGTATCTTTAGTAAAAGTGAAAGTTTGATACACGTCAAACCCCTCCGGACCGATCAAATTTATTAGTAAACTGGCTTGTACTGCTGAATTCTCGGAATCCACACCCGAAGCCTTGATAAACAGCAGGAATTGTTGTCGCCAACGCCTCCATGCATCGGCACGACTCACAGGGCCTCCCTCCATATTTAATTCGGGCGGTGGTCGCGCGTGCTCCATTATGCCGTATAACAAAATATCCACTCACGACTAGTTTTTTATGCAAATTTATATTTGTTAAGTTTAATCTTTATTTAAATACGTTATTTATAACACTTTTATCAAATTTATACACGTATTTATGATATACCGCTGCCACCATGTAATGTTTTAATGAAACCATCCCAATGTCAGACAACAACTGTTTTAATCATATTATTCAACTACCTTCAAACTAACTATACATGACACATAGTTAATAGATAAATTGTTGCTGTAAAAAAGATGATTAAAATATTTTTATTTAATTTTAGATACCTCTAGTACGTACTTTTTCAGCAGAACTATTAATATAAAAATTACAAAAATACAGAGAGCACAAAAAATTGTACGCATATTAATCTAACTGGTTATGTAATTGTTAACCAATATTATGGTGATGGTTATAGTATTGATAACCATTATTGTGACACTACACTTCTAGCTAGCTACATTTTATAGATGTCATTATTATAGATTAAGAACAATATCTAACAAAAGCTATTTTGAGTCGGAATCATGACACCCCGCAATGAGCTAACTAAGACAAAATTTTTCCAGAGAAGTTTCGGGGGAAAAGTCTTCATGAGTAACAAATAAATGTCGACTGAAGTAATCTGCTTAGAGTACTTTTATTTTGATCACAAAAACAAAAATCATAGATTTGTATCCGGTGTGATTTGAAACTGTTTTAGATTCAACAAGAGCCTGAAAATATAATAAATATTATTTCACCCCACTTTTACCTTTTTTTTTTACTAAGCTTAATTTTTTTTTATGTTTTACATGTTTTTCCAATTATAATCAGATCAAGAAATTCAGAAAAAATAATATAAATATAATTTACTACTTTGAATACACCTGACCGCCTATTTATCTAAATAAGTGTTATTTGATGACTTTGAACAATAACCTTGCCACATATTGGGCAAAATTAAATATTGATTATAATTAGTCTATATCTATCTATATATCTAAAGTTATAGATATGTATACTAATGGGTATTTATCTAACATAAATAAATGTTTATTTTTATTACATTAGCAGTTGCTATAGTTATAAGCTTATATGCTTATAAGCATGTTAGGCAGGTTAATACTAATGTAAGATCAGAAAAAAATTCGTATTCATATTGGTTTAAGTTATTAGTCATTCATTATCATTATTACAACAGCTACCTGTCTATTCCTGAACAAGGGAGGCCCCCTTATAAGAGGGGATTTTGACGGTAGTTACCACGCTTGGCAGATAGGTTGACAACTGCAATCTTAGGTGATATTTTAAATAGAAATTGCTGTCCATTCCTCGCCTATTAAGTTCTCTTACGACATTCATGAATAATGAAGGGGTAGTCTATACCTCAGTAGTCCGAGACCACAAGGCAATTGGATCAAAAAAATTGGGCTTGATAAATCTTTAAATAAATAAATATATACGGTCGCTATGTATTTTCAAACGGTACTTAATAACTTTTTATACATTTGTATCTTATAATAAATAATTAAAAACTCACAGTTTTATTAATTACGGTGCGTGAAAATAACAATTTAATATTTTATATCAGCAAAATTATTGAAAATAAAAAAAGTATAAGTATAGGTAAATAATATTTTCTTCATAAACTTAAATAAATTATGATTATTTTTTATAACTTTTGTCATAAAGCTGATTATACTTCTAACTGGATAATATTATAATTACATGTACTTTTGGTTCTGTCTAACGAGCACAAGTGAATTTAAATAAATGGAGAATTTTTCTGTATTATCTTTCAGGCACCAGTACCTATAAAACCATGGGGTGGGACATTAAATGCGAGCAAACCAACGCCATTATGTATTCAAAGGAATCCTTACATTCGCCAGCAAGAAATTGTGGGGCAAGAAGACTGCTTATATCTAAATATTTATAGTCCGGACACTAGCAATGTATGTACTTGTATCTTTTATAATCAAGAATTACAAGATTGTAAAATATTATTTATTACTTAATCTAATACATATGAATATACAGTTAAGATATAAATTTTAATAAATCAGTTTCTATAATATCCTAAGGTCTTTCTATATTAAGTTTTGTCCCAGTCTTCAGATTTAATAAGTAACTTGCAAATAAGATGTTTTATCGCATAAACATGCCACTAACTATTATGCAGTATAATTTTAGATTATCTTACCTGATGTTGCAGAATTAATTAATCATTTTGCAATATTTCAGGATTTACCACAGAATAATGATCTATTACCTGTGATGGTATTTATTCACGGCGGAGGATGGATGTGTGGAGATTCCAGTCCACAAATGTATGGACCAGAGTATTTATTAGACAGGGATGTTATCCTAGTCACTATTAATTATAGATTGGGTATGATTTTCAGTTGATATTGTACTTTTTATTATAAACTCCTTAACACTATCATATCTGCTTTTTTTCGGAAACCTTACCACCCATATCAAATAATGAGGAAGTGACTCCCAGGTGAAGTGACTTGAACATTAAAAAATAAACCGGTTGTACCTACTCTTATTAAGAGACCTATGTACACTATAGCTGTAGATTGAAGTAGACTAATAATCATGTACCCACTATTTTAGGTCCACTTGGATTTTTATCAACCCTAGATGAGCATTGTCCTGGTAATAACGGTCTCAAAGATCAACAGGAAGCACTCCGATTTATACAAAAAACTATCACTAGCTTTGGAGGTGATAAACAGTCCGTGACAATATTTGGCGAGAGCGCTGGTGGTGCTAGTGCCCATTTTCATATGTTATCGGAAACCAGTGCAGGTAAATATTTGTTTCTCATGATTATTTTCAAGCAATTATGATTATACAGAAGAATTTTTCAAATACTAACGTAATAATAAGTAACGTAATATATGTTTAATGTAATAAGTAGGTACAAAACATATATATGATGTTTTAGGTTATTTTTCTTATATTCGACCTTCTAAGAGGAAAGGTTAAATCTTCAAGTAAAAAATGCATACAATTTTAATATTAAATAACAATCAATAGTGAAATATTTCAAAAATAGTCATATATTGTACGTACTTGTACGTAACACGCATCAAATAAAAGAATTTATTAAAAATGGTCTAGTAAATATACTTAATTGGTGAGTCATGAGATATATATATATATATATATATACATATAGACTAAGATGGTGTTGATAGTGATGAATATATGTAATTAATTTTAAAATATTGCATTGAAGGTCCTGAATTCCTAATTGTATAATATTTGTTGCTTTATTCCAGGTCTGTTCCATAAAGCAATTTCGGAATCTGGTACAGCATTGGTGCCATGGGCAGAGGCCGCTCCTGGTGAAGCGTTGAGGAATGCATTCCGTTTAGCAAAAATGCTAGACTGTCCTCAAGCGCCGTCAAAAGAAATGATTAAGTGTCTTCGAACAAAAGATAGTTATCAGATCATAAACACAGAATTCAACTTTTATGTATGTTGATATCAAGTTTTTTGATACTAAACTGTAGTTATTTTTAAGAACAGCCATTTGGAAAAATGATCCTTTTGAATATTTTTTTTTTATATTTAGGTAGGCGCTTCTCAATTTTATGCCGTGAAACAGTAAAGTATGCTGTATAATATTTCGATCTGATGAATAATTTACTCCCTATTATAAATAAAATCATAGAACATCATTATACATTATATATACCTAATTAATGTAAGTTTGTAACTGTACATGGGAATTCTACACTTTTTGAACACAATTTTTCAGGTATGGGATTATGAACCGATGACTCCTTTCAAAGCAGTGATAGAACCTGATCTGCCTGGAGCATTTTTGACTAGAAATCCTAGAAAAATTTCCAAAATATCCGCAGTTCCTTGGATGACAGGCCTAACTAAAGACGAAGGCTGTTTGAAAGCAGGCTGTGAGTTTATTACCTTGTCTGTGTCGAAAAACTACTTCTTGATAATTATCGAAAATAATATTATATTATTTTTCCAGGGATAACAACAAATAAAACGAGATTTGAGGAATTTATGTCTGGCATTGATACCATAGCACCAGTCACATTTTATTATGAGAATTCACCAAATGTAAACCTCATAACCAAACTAGTGCAAGAAAAATATTTATTAGAAAAAGACACAGAAGCTATAAAATCTGGAATTATAAAAGTTAGTGTGAATACAAAAACTATTTTAATTAATTTTGAATTGATACTGCATTCCAATTTCAGTAATTATAATTACGTATATATGTTTTTCTATATAAAACTATTGCGATTACAACATTCAAAGTAGTTAAACACATAAAAATTTTTAAACACTAATAAATACTCCGTGGCTTTAAGTATACGATTTTCATCCAATTTTAGTGGTAACCTTATTGAGCTATTTATTTATATGCACCATGGTGTTAACAGGTTTTGCAAATCTACATATAATCTATTCGCTGACTTTTAATACTAAGTGTATTATTTTTGTATTGTATTGTAGTATACACAAAGAGAGATGAATTAAAAGTTCAACGACCAGCGGCAATACATTATAATTACAACTAGTTTCTTTTTTTTTTAATAGGTGATAATAGAATGGTAATCCCGCCTGCACTATCGGTATACTCTGGCGGGGCACCAGTGAGAGATGATAGGTGAAGGTGAAAGCAAGTCAATTAGCCCATTGTAAAGAATTCTACGAGAATTAATCACGATGGTTTTCAGGGGAACCGCGTGGAGATCGACCTGATAGGGCGCATTGCTACTAATGAGGCTGTTAGATCCCATTACTAACAATTCCTTTCCCTACAAGAACCTTTATTTAAAAAAAAAGGTTGGCTATGTAAGCCACATCCGAACACAACAACGCTAACAACAGCCGAATATGTGAACATTTAATTAATAATAGAGAAGTCAAAACGGTCGCCGTGACCGAAAACGATCTGAACTCATCACTATGTTTTAAACCTTCTAACGATTAGAAGTCATCATCATCATCATCATTATTTTTAATACTTCTAATATAAATATTTATGTCTGCAGATGTATACTGATTCATATTTTGGATATCCTGCTGTAGAGGCAATAGAATTAACTTTTAACTATACCAAATCCCCAGTGTTTCTGTATCACTTGGTATATAAAGCTGTTAATAGTTTTTCACAAATATTTGGATACGGCGATGAAGATCAAGGTAATTAAATACTTTTAAATTTCAAGCTCAATTTGGGACGTACGAATTACAGATAACTTTATTAAATAACTCATTGATAATGAGAGATATGCAAGGTTTCATTTCGAAAATCTTTTATTTCCTTATATGCTGGTAGCTTATGGACTAATATTGTACAAAACAAACATTAACAACGTTGAAGTGAAATCCTTTTTAATGTCGAATTATGCTAATTATGCTGATTGACTATTAATGGTCATTACTCTGGATTTCATAAAAAATCATGGCCCAACAATTTTTTATAATAGTCTACAAAACAAAATCGTAGTATACAATTAGTGCAAAACTGGCTATCTCGCCTAGCATAATATATTGAGGATTTTATCATATATTTATTTATATATTTTTAATTGAATGTTATGTGCAATTAAATAGACTTTATAAATACATATTATATAACTTTTCGCAGCAGCGTCTCTCTTAAAATATTAGTAAAGCCTAACTACGGTTGCCAACCTACCTACCTAATATTATTTTTATGCAGGTGTATGTCACGCCGATGACCTTATGTATCTATTTCCGATACATTTTCTTGCTAAGGAACCATCAACAGACGATATTGAAATGAGCAAACTTATTGTAACGATGTGGACTAATTTTGCCACAAGCGGGTAAGTTTACATATATATTTTTCACGGCTGTTTCCCATTAGGATAGGCAGAAAAATGGTACCATGTATTCGGATATACGATACTATGTGGCTAAGAAAACCCAATACTACTGACAATGAACTGTAATAATGGATATATTATACATTTATATCTTTAGATAGATCTTACTTTATCTGTAATTTACCTCGTGTATAATATAATTTCCAAATCCATCTGATCATAATTGACTAGTAGTATTAAATGTACCTACTAAACTAGCTGTTCGCCCCAGCTGCTGATAAACAAAGTTTTTTATTCCTCCCAAGAATTCAATTTTTCATTTTCTTTCATACAAATCTTGCCCTAACAATTATAAAAACACCAAAAACAAAAATAGCCAAGTATATGCGGCCGTTCTGAAGTGATTCGGTTACATACATTCGGTAATTTTATTTATTTATGTCAATTATTAAAAACAAAAATCTATCTAGTACGTATTTACTTTTAATTCAATTTTCCTCCGGGTACAAATATTAAACAAATTATTTACATTTTATCAAAAATTTACTGATTAAAGAAATTATAGAATAGACATAGACTGTTCTGTAATTTCCTTAATCAGTTACAGATATTAATTACAGTTGTAAAAACCCTGACTCATGATAAATAATATCTATCCAATTAAATAATTGCCATGTTCAATCAAATACATAACGAACGATATAATAGTATTGCTTTAAATATTTTCCTTTGTATTGAAGATAATCTTTGTCTTAGGACATAATTTTACAATATTTGCTATATATGAAAATAAGGATATCTTCAAAAGAATCGAAAGTGACTGACATAGCCCAAAGGATAAGCAAGCTGAAGTGGCAATGGGGCGTTCACATAGCTCGAAGAACTGACAACCGATGGAGAAGAAGGTTCTTGAGTAGGGATCCCATACCGACAAATGCAATGTAAGACGATCCCGTACTAGATGGAGTGACGACCTCAAATGTATTGCAGGACGTCAATGGGTGCAGATTGTTCAAAAGCGTTCGTTATAGCAGTCAGCAGTGGACAGATAATGGCTGAAATGGTGATGATGACGGAAAGAGGTTTTAATTTTTTTAAAATGTAGGTATTTAATAGTTACCATAAAAAAGGAAAGTTAAGCCCCTATCTTATGTACGTTCGTAAATATACATATATCTTTATTTTCTTTAGATTGCATATGTTAGAAATATTCTTTTTTAAATCTTTAATAAAAAATAACATATTACAGAGATCCAAATAAACCCGTGCAAATACCGTACAAGTGGAAGCCAGCCAGCAGTGGATCCAAAATGGAATACTTGGAAATATCGTCGAAACCAAAAATGAAAGAAGATTTCGCGTCCCGATCAAGATTTTGGGGTACATTGCCATTATGGCATAATGTGCGGACCTACCGAAGTATAGAAGAATTATAAAATTATTATGTAACATATTGTGTATTTCACTGAATATACACAAATAACTTTATCTATCTATATGAATCGTGATTATTAGCAGGTACTTCACCCTATATCATGTAGTAGACAATTTTCATGTTATGAACAATATATAAATACAATTGTATGAAAGTAGTTTGTTTTCCATTTTAAGTTATATGAATCAACAAAGGAGACATGCGACTGTTTTATAGTTTATTTTTGATTATTTATTTTACGGTCACAGAACAATAGTTAGGTGATTGATTAATTAAAATCCAATAGAACGTAGTATACGAGTGTTTTTTTTTGATGGGTGAAAATAGTATGGTAACCCCGCCTGCGCTAACGGGATACGCTGGCGGGATACGCTGGCGGAACACCAGTGAAGGGTGATAGATGAGAAAGAAACAGGTCAATTAGCTCATCATGATGAATTCATCAGGAATTCACCATGATAGTTTCCAGGGAGAACCGCGAGGAGGTCGACCTAGTTGGGTATATTGCTAGCAATGGGATTCTCAGTCTCCATTACTAACAATCCCTTTCCCCCCAGTATACGAGTGTGATACACACCCACAACTTATGTAAACTTATTTAGATTTATGTAAAGATAAATTTAATTAGACAGTTTAGGATTATGATGCACTTACCTACATGTTAGTATAGTTTCACAAAACAATTTTTAGTTTAATTTAAATGCAATATTTTAATTTATTTCTTATCATCGTACAAATATTTGTCATTTTTTAAAAAACAAGAGTCATTAGCTGTCCACCATTTATTAAAATGTTCGTAAATTGTTGTAGTTTTCATTAGATATTCGTTATTAATCATTGCACAGAAATTGCAGTAATCGTCTGTATCGGGAGTTTCATGCCTAAAATGATATGAATAATACTTTTTCCATCTAAAATACATATAATACATCTCAATATTTCGTGAAATTGCAAACATTTTCCTGGCTAATATTAGCGGTGTCATTTCTCGAGCATTTAAATAACTTCCTTCTGGCATGAATCTGTAATAAAATATTATCTTCTTAACAAAATATCTAATTTAGTTAAAGTATGTAAATTAGTTTCGTATGGCTGATATCGCAAGCAGTGTCCTACTAATTTCAAAATAATACCTACTCATACATAGCTTAGTACACTTGGTTGTAGATATTTTAAATTTCCATTTCGGGGCTATACTTCACACTTGGAACCCTTAAAAGCAATGTTGCGTTTTTTTAATTTTTATAATGAATAAATATTTTATTATATACTTTTTGTATTAATGGGTTTTAGTTACCTTGAGTAATTTGCACCGCCATAAACTACTGGAACGGTGTTAGAATTTAAAGCGTACAAGATTTTCTCCGTTACATAATCCTGACTAATAGCGTTTTCGAATGCAAAATAGAAATAATAATCTCTTTTTAAAACATCAAGACATCGGGGCATTATATCCCGAGGACATTGGTGTTTTCCACAACTGCCAAATATGTCGACATCTAAATTATATTTCTGTAATTCTTGTTGCACATCTTTTACATATTCCTCTCTTAAACTCAAAGTATCGCAATTAGAAACAAACCATGCAACCAGTTTTTTCTTACTTTTCAACTTTAACTTCAAATTTTCATCAATGTCATCCATATCAGACAGATTTATCCAGTTCATCACTTCTTTTGGTCCTATTACATGTCCGGTTGCATTCTTTACTGAGATATACCCCCATACAGAATCGGAATCGAGTCTATAAGTCCAAGTCCAATTAAAAAAATTATTCCATCTATCTGAACAAATAGGATATATTGCGGCAGATTCTATATTGGCGTACACGTACTTTTGAGTTACAAAACGTTTCTTTGGTAGGTCATACAAATTTACTAGTGGCAACAATTGCGGTCCATTGAAAACAATGACATCAAATTCGCTATAGTCTCCTAAATAATTCCTGTTTCCAGTAACGTAACAATTTTTCCATTGACACGTTTTGTTTTCAAACACTGCACTTCCTTCACCAAAATATATGAAAGGGGAATTCTGTGGGTTTGTCCATAGAAGTATGTATTTCATTTCTAGATCAACTTTTTTGATTGCATCCTTTCTTGTTTCTTTTATATAATGATGGGTGATATTATTATTTATTACGGAAGTATCTACCGTTGGTTGGTAATTATATCTAGTATGTACACAATAAAAAGTTATGAATGTTACTGTCACAATAATAAAATAGTATGGTTTCCTGGAGAATTGAGAACGCCTTGATGGTAAGGATGAGTGCATTTTGTAGAACCATCTACATGAGACTAATGTACACAAATGACGTGTGGCTGTTGTGTATACAAACATACTTCTGAAAATAATTACGTTCGAAACTGTAAACGACATTTTTGAGATTTCTTATTGAATAACTATTCAATTACGGGCATCTTTTTCTATCTAATCTATTATTCTGCGTTGCATCATTTAGTAGATATACAGTAGGAAACCAGAAATAATTATAAATAGGTAGTGATTATAATTAATATATTATAATAGAGAACAGAAGAGGCAAAATGCTGAGCCATCTTATACGACATGACGATTTTTTAAAGAATATAGTAGAAGGAGAAATAGAAGGCAAAAGAGGAAGGATAAGACCGTGAAATAACTATAGGGGCAGGTAAAGGAAACCCTTGGTGTCATGTCATATGGGGGGGAGTCAAGGATATGGCCTAGGATAGAGCTGGCAGGAAGAAAATGTATGTTAGTTAGTTAGTTGCACTGACAAGAGGAATCTCTTAAATAAAAAAAAGCTATTATAATTACAAATAAACCGCAATTGCTCTAAACTTGACTACGGAAATAGTTGTTTAAAGACGAACTACTGATATGACAGTAGTTCATCACTAACACAAAGACAAAGATTTAAATGGCGGAGAACTAAAAAGATTAACTTACCTACTCGGTTTTCTGCGATTTCGAAACCGCAGAAAAAACAAAAATTCGATTGTCCCAAAGGATTTAATTCAATCACTATAGAAGTATTTACTAGGAATTTAATAAATCTAATAATTCCATAGAATATCCGCGTATGCGTAGGTATAAAATATTATCATGTAAGAGAAATAAAACATCGCTTTATCAAACACAATTTTAATTAGTTAATATTAGTGACAAGAATGTAAAGGATTAAAATATATTCACTGATGATAAAGGTTTGGTAATTATTTTTTTGTCTGGTATTTTATGACATTCAGTAGGTGAGGTTTTAAAATGTAAGTAAATCTGAATACAGGAGCGAATTTTTTGCTGCCATTTTAAATATTCATTACTTTGGCTATTATTTTAGACGACACACAAAAATTACGTGAGGTACTATTTTAAAAAATTCGGCCTCCTCCCTTCCTTCTATTCCTTTTTAAATTTCACCCTACAACATATCAGGTATCATGACTCCATTCCCCTTTTTGTGGGATTTTAAATAGTTTATTTGATATTATTGATGTATTTTTTCACTTCAGAGAAATAAAAACAAAATTCTGATGTGAGATTTACTGTGCAACCCTATGTAATTAAGTAACGCTCCTTTACCTTATATAAGGCACAATTTCAGCATCCAATCCAATGCTTCAGATTAATTATATTTCTATATATATGAGGAAAATATGAAAATAATGTTGCCAACCCTGACACAATATAAGCATTTGTATACTTTAAAATGTCTTTGTCTGTTAATCTAGGCATTTTCTATATATTACCTATAATTATTATTAAAAAAAATCGTTAGACAATTGAGAGACAGTCCTGTTTAACCGTAGTATTCAGCCCCAAACCTTGACGCTCTGGTCCCATGAGCAGCTCGCAAGAGCGATGCCATTCGGTGCGAATGAAATCGACGTCACTCGATTTTCATGAGCATTCAGTGTTCCTGATAAGAATTGTTATTGATAAGTGAGATGAATTAAAAATAAATAATAAGTTTATGATAACAGTCAACCATAGATATTGAGATCAAAAACTAATAGAAAGAGTATGCTTCTACCAATGCTCAATTTAGAAAATGATAATCAATAACTACGTTTATATCAAAATTAACTTTGTTTCTTTACAATGGTTAAGCAGCAGTTTCCTTGGTCTCTGCTATATTAAAATTTAACAAATATGTAACTTTATCTACACAATTAAATTTTAGATTAATATAAAGTATTTGCCGTGCCATATGGTCCCGGCATAGAATGGGTCACTTTTTCCTTTCCTATGAATGTCATAAGAGGTGATAAGAGTAACATCATAGGCAGCGTGCCTCTTAAACAATACCAAAAGCCTAAGTGCGATTACCAACCCTCTTATCAAGCGTGTTGCTTATCAAGCAATTACTGCCAAAACCCCCTGTATGGGGAGACTTATGTTCCGCAGTGGACAGTTAACGGCTGATGTGATAATCATGGTAAATTAACTGGATACAGTAGAATATAAAAACTATAAAAAAAATTTACCAGTATGAGTGACTTTGAGTGTATCCCAGGAATGTATTGCGTTGTCATCCGAACCAGCTAGCAGGTATCTCCCACTTAGAGATAGACCTGTTTGTTAGAAAGTGATCATAACAAAGTAATAATAGATATGTATTAACCAATAACTATTTATTTTGGGGGGGAAAGGGATTGTTAGTAATAGAGACTGAGAATCCCATTGCTAGCAATATACCCAGCCAGGTCGACCTCCTCGCGGTTCTCCCTGGAAACTATCATGGTTAATTCCCGATGAATTAATCATGATGGGCTAACTGGCCTGTTTTCATTCTCATCTATCACCCTTCACTGGTGCTCCGCCAGCGTATCCCATTAGCGCAGGCGGGGTTACCATACCATTTTCACCCATCAAAAAAAAAAAATAACTATTTATTTACAAGTACATGCTTTAACAAATCTCTACTACCTACTTCTTGATACAGTTTATAAGAGTTTTTTTTTCGCGAAAATCAGCTGGGGAAGCTAGAAATAAATAAAGGAATCCAAATTAACATTATGATCAAGCAACATGATATGTCATTAATTAATCATTGTAGATAGGCATTTATATATTTCCATATTTAATGATTAGATTATATATTTTCATAGCAGTTCGATTAAGTAATAATATCATTTTTTAAATAAAAATATAATAGCAAGTATTTTTTTTAAATGGGTGAAATTGAAACGGTGAGCCCGCCTACGCTATCGGTATACGATGGCGGAGCACCTGTGAGAGATGACAGATAAAGAAGAAAACAGACCAATCAGCTCACCGTGACAAATTCATCAATAATTAACCATGATAATTAGAGAACCGCGTAATGGTCGATCTCTTAAGGCATATTGCTAGCAATTGTGTCAGATTCTATAACTAACGATCCTTTTCCCCTTAATTGCAAGTATTCGAAATCGGTTGTATTCTCTGCATAAATACTCAGTTAGATATAACATAATAAATACCAACCACAACTAGTGAATCCGCTGTTGCCGGGCGGCGTGTAATGTCCAAGCTGCTGGTCACTGCGAATGTCAAAAAGCCTTGCAGTCTTGTCCTCGGATGCAGTCGCAAACGCTTGTCCACTGTTGTGGTACTAGAAATAAATTAGTAGATAGTGGCTTGATAAAACCTATACAATGTAATATTAAATATAAGATTTGTGAGTAATTTATTTAGTACTACTATAGTCTTATATATCCTTATATATCCAGCACTTAAAATATATATTAAATTATGCATGCAGTCTGGATGTCATCATCATCATCATTTCAACCGTTAACTATCCACTGCTGCACATAAGCTTTCCCTACAAAAGGAGTATTTCCAGTAGTTGCCACGCTTGGCAGAAGGGTTGGCAAGCATAGAGGGACGCTGCTGCCTATCCCTCGACCATTATGTTCCCTTAGTCACCTCTTACGCTACCCACGGGAAAGAAAGCAGACTATTCATGTATTGCATGAATTTTACTCATGCTATTATATTTATATATTATCGTGTGGTCCCGGCATAGAATGGGCTACCCTTTCGTTTCCCGTAGGTATCGTAAGAGGTGACTAAGGAAACTTAATGGCCGAGAGATAACCAGCGTCCCTTTTAAAAATCAACAAAGCCTACGGTTGCCAATCCGCCTGCCAAGCGTGTCGACTACTGTCAAAACCAGCCAATAGGGGGAGGCCTATATTCAGTAGTGAAGAGTTAATGTCTGAAGCGTAAAATGTTTTTTTTTTTTAATATTTTTATAATAAAGAGTAAATAAATACATAAAACTTACGCAAACGCTGTTGACATCAGCATCATGTCCGAAAAATGTTTGCTTCGCTTTGTCTTCTCGAACATCCCACAACTTACAAGTCTTATCTACTGATCCAGTCACATACGTTTTCATATCTGTGAAAATAGAATAAAGTTTTAATTTATTCCTTAAGAATTCACCCTGAGTAATATAAGTGCCTAAGTTTGTATGGATATTTGTTACTCTTTTACGCAAAAACTACTGGACGTATTAAAATGTAATTTGGTACACGAATAAAGTATGTCCTTGCTTAACATATAGGATGTTGTATATACTGATTACTGGGCAAAACCGCAATAAAAAAAGATATAGCTAGTTACATTGAAAATAATTGTCCTAAAAACCACACGGGTGCATTGAAAAATCAATATTATGGTAGCATTACCGCGACAATTCTTACTATTAAAATTCAACATTTCTTATTATTAAAAGTGTATTTATAAATTATTTAAGTAATAGTTTTTACCCGCGACTTTGTCTGCGCGACTAGCATATATTTACTGACTGGAAAAAAGAGTACCGTAGTTCAAAAATAATTCTCTTGTAATAAAAATTTTCTTTATACATAAATAGTACTTATAATTAACGTCTAGATGTCTTTTAGTACTGACTTAAGTACCTGGTGCTAAAGAAATACTGACAACATCGCCAGCGTGAGCATCAAATTCCATATTCCTTTTTCCAGCTTCTAGATCCCAAATGCATCTGTAAGAATTTATAATTTGAAATATATCTAAATAATTAAGATGCTTTAATAATAAGAATGATAAATAAAACTGCCTCTCATGTACGAACTGGTTAATGACCTTTGTAATGTATTGTATATCTCATAACAATAATACAGGTCACCTTTTGGACTTGGAACGCATAATTTTGAAAAGAGTTCATTTTTTTTTTCATTTTAATGTTTTATCTTAATATTTTTTGTTTCTAGTAGTAAGATGGTTTCGAAATACAAATGTTTAAGAGAACATTATTACGAGTACTTTAAGAAAAAGTTGTTCCCTTTTTATAAGAACCAGTGAACCAGTGAACTCGTAAGGTAAGTATTAGTTAGCAATCTAACAACTGTATAAACCTGAAAAGCAAGTCAGTATCGATCAAACATAGTGTGTACAAATGTTTTAATTGCATAATTCATACAAATTGTTAATAATTCTAATTTCATGTCGTAAGAGAATTTTTTTTATGCATTCTAAGTACAATAGCAAGCAAGCTGACGGCCTATCTGATGAAAAATGGTAACAGTCGCCTATAGACATGAACGGTACCATGGACGTAACAGAATATACTGTTTCACCCATGATATCCCCAAGCGTTGCCATTCCTGAGAACTCAGGTGTTACTCCTGTGTACCCTGTTTTACTGTTATATCCCACCCTTCAAACCGAAAAACGACCATGCAAATACGACTGCTTCACGGTAGAAACACGAATGGGACAGAGGTGCCCAAGCAAACGATTTTTGTAAGTAGAATGAATACAAACTTCTAAAAGGAAAATAAGTATCCAAACTTACATCTTCATATCACCCGATCCAGTTAGAATATGTGTATCGTCGAGGAAGCGGCAACTGCTGAGGAAACCTTCGTAACCAGCTAGCTCACGCACCATTTTAGCCGCTCCAGTGGAGTCACGATTGTTCACATCATATACGGTGCACATATTATCCATACCACCACAAGCTTAAAAACGATAGAATCATTACTACTTTTTTTTATTACAAACATTTGACACTTACATTTAGGTACATAAATATTAATATAACTTCATCGTTAAAAATTTAAAAGTACTTAACAAAGATTTCCTGCCTTCTGAAAGAATAAAATAAGAAATCAACGTTGGATAAGTAATAAAGTAATCCGAGAGAGATTTTCCTTTAAATTTCTTGATCCCCGTGTGTGTTATCTAAAATATCATACATTGGAATTACCTATTTACAACTTCCATATCTACACCAAATCTTTTACTGTGCAAGCTGCTAGACTAATTTCAGACTGAATTCCCTCCCAAATTATATCTATACTTATATCTGTATGTATGTATGTATATATATATATATAACCTTTCAGGTTCTCAAAGTTGACTGGAAGAAACCCCATTAAGGGATAAGTCCGCTTATGTACATTTTTTTATAACCTTATATCTATTATAAATATAAATAAATCAGTTAATAATAATCTTACCCACAAAGTTTCCAGAAGGTGCAAAGGCCACACTCATGACCCAAGCGGAACGCAATGGGATGACCTGAACCTTGTTGCCACTCCACGTGTCCCAGATAATAAGTTTCCCATCCAACGAACCCGTGACACAATGTCTGTGGAATATAGCTTTATTTCATTTCCAATATTTTTATAGATATTCAATATACTTGTATAGACAATTGAATGAGACATCTTAGCAATTCAACGAGGTGGAAAATATTTGCAGCAATTGTTGTGTCGTAAACAAAGTGGTTTATTTTACACAATTCCGTAATAGATTTTTCTTGTAGGTAATATCAATTTTCTTTTTAGTTGTCCTCTCAAAGCATAGCTTATTTGATATATAGCTGCAATTATGCAGTTCGCAAATGCATACTCGTAGAGTAGTGTAAAATTAGGCGTTAGTGTTAGTAAGCATAAATTAGATAATAGGTACACGTAATCGAATTGCTTTGCTAAACTTTAATTTCTTTGTTATATCGCACAGCATAAATTATGTACAGTTGAATAATTAAGTCCTATAATTCTCTAAAAAGAATATTGTTTCGTATTTTATCTAACAGTTAAGAGCTTTAGCCACATATTAACGAAAATCTGACTACGTGGTAGCTAACCATCGAATACATTTCATACAATTATAAAATTATAATTAGGTTCACGTACCTTGAATCACCGCTATAGTGCACGGAGTTTACTTTATTGATATGCCCTTTCAACGTTTTTTTTGTCGTTAGTCTTATCTTTGAGACATCTCCCATATCTCCACATTTTTCTGCTAGCTTTGCATCCGCTACTTTTTCTTGCTCTGCCTGTATAATAATAAACAAATTGAAACTTGCGTTAAATCATTCCAAACCATTCTAAATATTATTCTTTATAACCCAGATATAGTGTCAATACACACGATATAGTATTAATTATAAACAGTGAATTATTGGTGGTGTCAGACAGTTACTGTTATTTTGAAATAATAATAATAATAAAACTTTATTAACAAATGGGTTGCACTGTTACATATTTTTTGTCCTGACTTACAAATTAGGGTAACCTGTGCCTTGTAAGCCAGCAAATAATTGTTTTAGCTTACGCTTTTGCTCGTATGAAATAATAAGGAAAGTATAAATATGCGATGATAATAATAATGTCAATTCGTATATTAAATTTCGTTAAAACCTGCTCAGTTATTTAATATTTAATTTAACAAAAATTTTACGCTTCACTTCTAGTATATGATCGTACTATACCTTAACTTTAGCAATTAAATCAGTCAATTCCTTCTTGAGGGCTGTAGCTTCAGGATCTTCTTTCGGCATGGCTCCTTCTAGTTTAGAAATCTAATGATGTTGTGTCAATATAGCGTTACTTGAAGCGTGTCAAGCAGGCTACGTTCTCAATGGCTTTGAGCTAATGTTGTAGATTCTTCTTCTAATTGTATTACACAAATTGGATTTCCATTTAATGTGCAACTGAAGCTGTATATGTGCTTACCACTATTTGACATAGTTTCATATTATATTTTTTCATAAAGGATACATACTCTGTTTATTACTACTAAAATATCCGAGCACTTACTATTAGTTTTTGGATAGACAAAAATTTATTAAGAGTCTAATAGTTTAGTACATGCTGATAACTTCAATCAAAGATATGCTCATTAAATTATAATAGAAAATTATTTTGGTTTTTTTACTCTATTTGACAAATATTATAAATTTAGATAAAAAAGAAATCATTGTTACATGTTATCTACGTATACAGTTTACTGATTAAGTACTTTTAAACGATTTGTATATTTTTAAATCATTGTCTATTTTTATTTGAGTACCTACGTAATATGTGTGTTATAGTCGCATAATAACATTTTCTTCATTTCTTAAAACATTTATACGTATTTACAATTATTCTTTTCTATATTCTAATTCTATAGATTGGCATAAGTTCCTATAGCGACATTTTATTTCGTCATGGTAAAAAAAGTGTAGCTAACTGAAGCGTGACTGTGTGACGACGGCCTACATTTTATTACTTTCACCTAATCTTTTTATTATTTTTATCCAAGTTACAATAGCTTGGATTCCAAAACGAATACAAATATTAAAGCTGTCATTTCAAAGCACCGTTTATTATTCAATATATTGATATTTATAAACGGCAACTGCACAGAGCTAAGGTATCTAACATCCTTCTAAGGAAGAGGGGACAGGATTGTTAGTAATGCGACTAAGGGCCTCCATGCTAGCAATAAATGAATATTTTACCAGGTCGACCTCTCTGTTGTATCCTTTAAAAACCATCGTAGTTAACCCCTGGTGAATTCGTCACGATGGGCTATCTAACCCATTTCGTTCACCTATCACCCCTCACTAGTGCCTCACCAGCGTATACCAATAACGAATGCTTGGATGCCATCAACTATGCCTAAATTAAAAGTTCTGAATGTAAACCTCTAGCTTGTTCTAGTCCCTACATGTTAGAACATTAAAACAAACACATTAAAATCTCCTGCACCTTCCTTTCCATTCAATCTGTCAACGAAAGCAGCCGCATAAAGTTGCCAAAATTATAACATTTTCGAAAATCAACAAATATCGGTGATTTTTATTGATTTCGCAACAAATAATTATAACAATGATAACTAATGCGATCATCCAAATTTGCGGCTAAAAGTGAACCTAAGACGATCGACAACTCATTCTGGGCAGCTCCAGGCTGTCTTCAACAAGAATACTCCGTAAATCCTCATTTTGTCTGTACTTGTTCGCTTATGTCAGTATTTTTCAAGAGTAATAAAGTCCTATTCAAGTCTTTACAGTCCGCTTTAATATATATTATATAAAGTATCTAGTGGATATAACCAAATTTTATTTAAATCCGTTTGGCTATTTAAACGTGATTGATTAACAAACCTATTGCTATGAATACTGCATAATTGAGCATAAATATATGTATTTAAGGATATGATCAAGCTGTGAGTAGTAGTGGATTTTATAAAAAGATATTTATTAAAAATTTTCGGCTTTCGATATATTTTTTATGAACTTGATGATTCTAAAAGTAGATTGGTTATATTTGTATTATGATAAATAATGTTTTTTTTCTTTTTTTTCTTATTTAACTCTACTGTGGCAACTTTCAGATATTTGTCGCTACATCAAAAATGCTTTCCTTCTGGCTATTATGTGATTCCACGAAGTATGTACGGAGTACTATTTTGGTATCCAAGTAGACGATAAATTAGTATACAAAATTGATCGTTCGATATATATAACCAAAATTAAATTAGATGTAATTGTTATATGACTATTATTATTTTTATCTAATTGATTATAAATTACTATATTGCTATGTATATAAATAATTTATGTTTAAAGTTTTTATTGATATGCCTTATATAATATGATACGCCTAAAAACCATGAAAGAAGTAAGTGATCCCTAATGATACAAACATATAAAACGAAAAATACGTTGTTAATATATCGCGTAAACACCACGATTATATTGATTGATAGGATTAATGTTTTATGTTAAATTAAATCTTAAAATAATATAATAAAAAGTAACTTTGAATGTCGTATGTTACATTCAGAATACAATATGCGAATATGTTGAGAATAGATACCCTTGCGACAGTACCCGAGAGCGGTTTGATTTGCAATACAAATTTGCACCTAACACATACCTGCTGTGGGAAGGTAATTAATTGAATAATTAAAGGATTAAAGGTAATTTCTAGCAACATGCCTTGATAGATCGACCTCCACGCGGTCTCCTTTTGAAACCATCGTGCTTTATTCCAGATCAGTTCATATATATAATTTTTTTTTATTTAGTATATTCATTGACATATGTGTATGCGGTAGGTATTTTATATCGTACCGAAAAGTATAACCAAAACCTGTACAACAGGTTTATTTGACGTTCCTTGGTACAACTCATGCATACTAAGACATGTCTTTCTTCATTATGAAAACATTTTTTTTTAAGTTCGTTGCATGCGAACTTGGATTACGATACATTTAGTACTAAGTCGTTATTAGTAATTGGTTAGTTTTTCATCGTTCAAGAATTTAACTGAACAAAATCAAACGGAATTACAGTTATGTTGCGGTCCCCGAAGTTTTCTTTTACAATTTTATTCGACACTTTCATTTCACGGTATAATAGTTTTTTTCTGCAGTTCACTGTTCAATAGAGAATAGCTCTCACTTTTTCCGTTATAATCAATTTGATGGATATTATCAATCTAGTTGCAGCAGTCTTGTCCCGAAAGCTTTAGTGGTAACATGGGTTTGCTAGAACACCGGTGTTTCCCGCTAAAATGTTGTTGTTGGGTATTAGCTATGTGGATAGCTCTCAGGCCCGGTACATCACAAGAATTTTGTACCAAAAGTAGCGAAGATGATAATTGTAAACAACATAATCTATTGCACAAACGTAAGTAATAACTTTTTACATCTATATACACGTATATGGATAACATCTTTTGCGAAATGCATAGCATTCACTTTAATTTATTTATAATAACAGGTACAATTGACTACAACGTTATGTATATAATAATTACGATAATTAGTTAATATAAATAAGGCCTATGTAATTTAAAACGTTGGTATTTCAACAAGTAAAAGTGTACGAAAAATAAAACAGTATTATTCTTTATCTATCATTTATTTATTATCAGTAATGAATGTAAAAATCAATATTTTCTAATTCAATATAGTCAAAAATTATCATTTTAAAAACTTTAACCAACGGTCATAATAAACCAAGCTCACCTATTAAAGCCTACGAATTGAAATGTATGTTAGTCTAATGTAATGTCAAAATGTACTTAAATAAAAATTAATAAACAAAAAATATATAATATTTAGCTCTTGTTCTTTGGGTATGTCAAAATAATAACAAAATATTACAAAAATTGTATACTTACTTAAATGAGTGAACAAACTTGTAGTCTTATTTTAAGAAAAAATAACAAACTATTAATAAAATAAAATCTCTTTTGAATCATACTACAACAAATTTAAGACAATATATTTACTCAATAAATATAAGATAATAAAAAAGAAATATTTCGTAGGGCTTATTAAAATACTGTGATTAATACCCTGATACCATAATTCAATTTTAATAAGTCAAAGAACTTCAATCACACTTTTATTATTACATAATAATAAGAAATCTCACCTCTTATAAGCGCAATAATAAATACGTTGCTTTGGGTAAATGATATCTGCAGTTCAGTTATCAATCGAACCAATTTAGAAAATAGACTTCTTTACTAAACGAAACGAATTAGCAGTCCTATTGCTACTAGTATGCCCTGATAGGTTGACCTCTGCGCGATGTGATAGGGTCACAACTCACAATGAGCTTAATACCTTGAAATCACTCTTACCTATCATCCCTCATTTTAATGGTATCTCGCTAATATAAACCAATACCGCAGTCGAGGTTACCATTCCAATTTCATCCATTCAAAAATCATCAATTCCAAATAACTTTTAATAAATCAACACACCCAACCAGGTCGACCTCCACGTGGTCCCCTTGAAACCATCGTGCTGAATTCCAAGTGTATTTATCACGATTGGCTAACTGACCTGTCTTTTCATCCTCACCTATCATCACTCACTGGTGCCCCACCAATGTATACCAATAGCGCAGGCAGAGTTATTAGTCCATCATCACCCATGAAAAAAATACTACGAAGATTTCTTGGGTGAACCGCGTAGAAGTCGACCTGATAAGGTGTATTATTAGCAATGAGTCAATTGGACCCATTACTACCCCCCCCCCCCAGGTATTTTCATCAGGTAAATTTTGCCGTCAATCAAGCGTCAATCTGTGGTAAGACTGACAGCTAAACATCGTTTGTTGGTCGTCTTAAATGTCATTGTTCAGTTCATTGCAATTGCATCCCGTTTTATCATTGATTTATTTACATTCTGTTTATTGAAGCATGATTTTGTTTGTTTTGTAAGTGTGAGTCAAGAACAATAATAAGTTTTCAGCTTTACCATCATTCATGTATGGTTCAGTTTCTATTCAGCATAGTATACAGAATTAAACTAATAAATAGTTGGTGCGTACGTGCATTCAGAGACCGTTTGTTATACATTTTAAATTAATGTTTTCATCAGTGAAATATAAAAACATATGTGCGCGGTCAGAATGATCTCATCTGACTAGTAAAATAACGCAGTCAGTCATGATCGAACAACGGGAGGAAACGGTCGCTGTTATCTTTTAGTTCCCAACGTCATGTACTGAAATCTTATCGCTTCCGAAGCGGGAGCACATAATAATATCTGGACCAACACGATCATAAAAGAGTGTTTCTTTAGCCGGCCGCTATTTTACGAGCCGCAGTGTAACCAGTGCGCGGAAGTCCATTGAACTCGGTCATGGAGGAATCTGGAAAGTTAATATTTCATAAACAAATTATTGCACTTATAATTTTGTTATTTAGTCACATAATAAATGCAGGTAAGACAGAAATATGCCTTTAAATGGTTATATATTGTAATTAATTTTACTTCAATTGATATAATTATAACCAATCTTATCTATTATCTGTCTAATTAAATTATTTAATTAATAATTTTCATATTAATTTTCTAATATATTTTGTTACCTTATTAACACTTAAACTTTTATGTTGAGTTTTCTTTATTTATATTAAATTGTGAAATGAATATTTTATATCAACAAACTTTTCCATACATTACGATTTAAAATTCTTTAAAAAGAGTAGGATATGATTAAATCAATTTTGTATAATTTTGCTTTTGGCGACTGTATTTTATAACAACTACTTAAATATCTACATTTTTTTATCTGATTTTTGTCCATTTTTCATGGATATGTAGTTTAAAAACTACTAAAACATAGTTTAGGTACATTTATATCATACATATAATTACATTTATTTTCTTAATAACTGCTCAGCTCTGTACTTCATTACTCTATGCTAAATGCTCAGCGATTGTAATAGTATAGTTCTCTTTTTCTCTCTTTGTGGTTGTATACTGCTATATTTAATATACATTTTTTCCTACTATTGTCATGTCTTTTTATTGTTTTATACTGTTGAGTAATATTATCAATAAGTTTCTTTAGTGTTAACTTTTTTAACCATATCTTGTTTTTTGTAGATGATATCACTGTATTAACTGTAGCAACTGAAGACAACCATGGCTTGGAAAGGTTTCTCAGATCTGCAAAAGTATATGGTATTGAAGTGGAGGTTCTAGGCAGAGGGGAACAATGGAATGGTGGTGACATGAACTATGCTGGTGGTGGGCAAAAAGTCAATCTGCTAAAAGATAAAGTGAATGAAATGATGAAATCTGAAAATAAGGATCAATTAGTATTATTTACTGACAGGTATAATAAATAAAGTGTATTATTCTCATAAATAATTAAAATTTATTTTATATTTAAAGAGAATGATTCCAAAATAAAATCTATATTGCTGTTTCTAAAATATTAAAAAATATTTTAGAAATATTTTTTAATATTTTAGAAACACAGTATTAAAATTTAACTGCAGTACATTAGACTTCTCCGATTACTTTATATACATGGATTTTGAAAGCAGAATACCAATGAAATATACCACTTCTGGATGGCAAACATGCAATGATAGATTGTCAATGTGCCCAATAGTTCTCATTGCACTCATTTTAACTACTCAATTATGTATCTTTGCCAAATATAGATTGGTAATCACATACTTGAGTTATGTTTATAAAATATATTAGATTCTCTTTGTGTGGCTCATCAGTTTTGGCTTAAACTTGAAGATATTGTACTGGGTAATATTAAATACTTGCAATACATTTACATTGCTTATCATTATATGAAGATACTAGCTCTTATCCACAATTTCATCTGCTGGACTGGGATATCTACAGTGACTAGGATATAGTGTAGTTTTATGTCCTCTTTTATCTCATATAGTACTTATATATATACCAAATTTCATGGTGATTGCTGAAGCCATTAAGGTTCTAAGAAGTAACAAACAATTTCACTTTTATATTTATAAGATTAACTTATGACCCTGCCTTGCTTCGCATTAGATAGATAGAATTTTCAAAAAGAATGTATAGCTTATGTTACTCACTGATAAACTAGCTTTCTATAACTGAGAGATTGATTAAATAGTATTGGAGATTATCCATTACAAATACACAACAAATTTTTCCTCTTTATAATATTAATATAATAATCATAATATATGTTATTATTACTGACACTTAATTTATAATATTAATCTGTTTATTTTAGTTATGATGTCATGTTCCTTGGAAACTTAGAGGAAATCATTAATAAATTTAAGTCATTCCCGGACACTAGAGTGTTATTCTCTGCAGAGCAATTTTGTTGGCCAGATAGCAAGTTAGCCTCACAATACCCCAAAACTGAAGTTGCCAACCCTTATTTGAATTCTGGTGGATTTATTGGTAAATATAGTAAATTTTTATAATATTATAATAATATAGATTATTCAAGTTATATTTTATAATCTAATTTAGTCACATCTAACTCTCACACACATCCTGAATAGAACAATAATGATGACACATGTTACATGTAAATTATAAATATAATGTACACTTATGTTTATAATTTCATAATCCATTGTCTGGTGATCATTGTTTTCACATCTCTATAAAAACATATATTCTTTTTAGGATATCTACCAGAGCTTTCAGAGATAGTAAATTACAAGACAATTAATGATAAAGATGATGATCAGCTGTATTATACAAAAGTTTATTTGGACAAAATTATGAGAAATTCATTGAAAATATCTCTAGATCATAATGCTGTTATATTCCAAAATTTAAATGGAGCTTTATGTAAGTATCAATTAAAATTTTATATTTTGTATTTTACTGTTATTTCGTTTTATCTTTTTATTTAGTATTGACACAGTATATTTTTCTATTTTCGCATTCTTTTTATTTCTGTATTCCCTCTATATTTGGGTGAGTCTATCGTTTCTCAAATTAATTTGGCTGGAAAGGGAGAAAAAGAAATAATATTTATTTAATACATGGATTTAAGTTTGTCAAAGTATCCTGAGTAGATAGTTTGTTAAAATTCATAAAGTGGTAGTTTTGTGAGCTCGCTTTGATTACTACCATTTTCTCACCTGTTTCTGCCGTAAAGTAATAATTCGTCTGTGTAGCGATTCGCATTGAAGAGTAATTTCTAACGCGGCATAATGTACGAACTAATGAAAAAAGTATTACAAGTCGTTACTTTTAATTAGGTGGGTCGTAAGCTTCTTTACATCCAAGTGGTATAAGAAAGCAAGTATGAAGTTTCTTTGTAGACGAGAAATGCACTTTTTAAATACCTACCACTTTCTTTTTCACATATAATAAGATAAATTCGTTTGCCAGTAGTTAAAAAAACTACTAAGTTATCTTTTAATTCGATTTGTCAATGTATAATATTATCATATTGTTTTTTATATTTTTTTAGCTGACGTTCAACTGAAAATAAACACAACAGAGGAATGGCCGTACATAGAGAATGTAGCAACGAAAGAGCGGCCTCTTATTGTACATGGTAATGGTCCATCTAAACTCACACTAAACCATCTGGGCAATTATTTAGCACGGTCCTGGTCATTTGCAACAGGATGCGCACTGTGTTCTGAGAAAAAGATAAAACTGAATGTAAGTGCAATAACCATTGCTATATTAATAATAACAGGGGGAAAGAGATTATTCATAATGGGATCTAACAATTTCATTGCTAGCAATATACCCTATCAGTGTCAGTGTCGTGGTTAATTGTTATGGAATTCGTCACGATGGGCTAAATGGTTTGCTTTGATCCTCACCTATCATCACTCACTCATCCCGCCAGCGTATACCGATAGCGCAAGCAGGATTACCATTCCATTATCACCAGCGCAAGTATCACAAAAAATAAACCATTTCGCATAATTATTATTAGCGTATGACGAATCTATGAGACTTCCGGAAACATTTAAGAGTCTTTGCAGATGACCACGGTTAGTTTGAGGAATGGGGGAAAGGGATTGTTAGTAATGCCGAATACCAGTCCCATTGCTAGCAATATACCCTGTTAGGTTAACCTCCACGTGGTTCTCTGGAAACCATCGTGCTGAATTCCTGGTGTATTGAATGAATGAATGAGTATACTTTATTTGTATTATACAATATAGGAAACAAGCAAGACAATTTACAAACACAATGATACAATTATATAAGTACAGTAAAGCGGTCTTATTGCTAAGAGCAATCTTTTCAAGACAACCTTAAGGCAATGGACTAATTATTGAACAAGTAGGTATGATAGTACTGTATAATTGAGAATTATTTATCACGATAGACTAACTGATCTGCCTTTTCATCTCACCTATCATTCCTCACTGGTATCCCGCCAGCATATACCGTTTGCGCAGGTAGGATTACCACTCCATTGTCATCCGTTAAAAAAAAAAAACAGGAGTGTAGTCTTGCTGCCAAAATCTGTGTAGCTCCTGATATTTTCATACCTGTTTCTCACAACTTCATCCACGTGAGTTCATTTTCTCTACCCTGTGTGTATTTATAGATGTGTACACAAAAAATACGTACATATACATCTAACCGTATTAATTCCAGGAGGATGATTTGCCTAATGTAATGATGGCAGTATTTATAGAACAGGCCACACCGTTCTTAGAGGAATTCCTGCAACAGCTACTTGATACCGATTATCCAAAGTCGAAGATACATCTCTTGCTGCGGAATAATGTGGAATATCATGAAACGGAAGTTGATGAATTCTACCAAGCGTACTCAAAAAAATTTGCTTCAGCTAAGCGCATTAAACCGAATGATTTCATTTCCGAAGCAGAAGCCAGGAATATTGCAAAGTAATTTATACTTTTTTATTATTTAGTTAACTGTATATACATGCGGTTTTATATTATACACTTACATAGTATTTTCCGGGATAGAAACAAAGTTATTTTTAGTATTCACGTATACATTTTTACTGATAAAAAACGTATTGATAACAATTGCGTAGTCAAGATCATACACAATTCACAAACGACTAAACAATTATTAATAATACAATTACTTGCTGTATACTCACGTACATACAAACAGACACATTCAACCATGACTTGAGTCACGGAATTTTATGGAGCGAACTGAAACCGCGCGCGCGAGGACTGCTGCAATACAATTTGTACAGACGGGTTCCTAATTAATGTCGTATCATAGTGTAACAACCAATGTAACAATGTTTCAACATCACTTTTTTTTGTTTTAAAAGTCATTCACATGATCTCCATCATCATATCTTGATTATATGTTATAAATTTAATTTATATATTGATTTTATATTATGTTCTTAGGTGTCTTCGTAGGTATTATGTTATGTTCTCTCTTAGTATACAAGTTATAAATAATTTCAATTTAAGTCAAGTCTATCATCATCAAATGATATAATATTATATACTATCTAAACAAATATATTAAATGCGTAAAGTATATAGAACCACAATAAGACGAATAATAAAGCCATTCAATAAAAAAAATAACGTTTAAGTAAAAATATTAAAAAAAAAATTCACGAGAACAATAATTTAAAAGACATATATAAGATGCTAGTCACACACAAAAAAAAAAATACGTTAAAATTTGTCTTTTTCATATCAAATTCAAACTCTGATCCAAGATTATCAGTTAAAGAAGTCAATAATATAACCTCGGTTTTATTGCTGGCCTATTACCGTAAATACCTATTTCTGAATGTTACTTTTTTTTTTAGAGAACGCTGCATCAACAGTGTATGCGACTACCTATTCTCCATTGACAGTCTATCTCGAGTGGAACCAAATACTCTGCGCTATCTATTATCTTCTGGATATGATGTAGTTGCCCCTATGTTGGTACGCCCTGGCCAGGCTTGGTCTAACTTCTGGGGCGCGATCAATTCTGCTGGATTTTATGCCAGATCCTCTGATTACATGGACATAGTACATAAAGTTATCAGGTATGTACACTTTAATATTTTATCTTTTTGTTTGGAATATGCTATATTAAAAATTGATACAATAATATATATGTAACTCAAACATATTTATGTAATTCATAAAATATACCATCAACATGATTAGTATAATATTAAACAAATAAAAATTTGATGTTCATTACTAATCAGAATCTTAAAAAAATCAGACAAAATATTGTCTTTGAATTTTAAAAACTGCCATCTTCCTCAGTCGAAGGCGATGGAAAAGTCCGTTTTGAAAGAACGTCGGTCGATAGAGTACATGTTGTCGGCTGTACATTCGTACACGCCAGCGTCCATTTGTGTCGCCGGATCAATTTCAATTTTGGACTTCACCCGATCTTCTCCAATTGGCCATTCGTGGATCTGCATTTTCAAATTAAAATCAAAGCATTAATTTAGCTAAAGCATAACTAGAGACCAAGCTTCATATTTTATGTACAATTACAACTGTGTAAATTAAATATACGCGGAAATTATAAAGATATAAATTAATAAATGAGCCACATTTTGGGATCTACATTTTGAAATGAAATTTAAAACATTAATTTAGCAGAAGCGTGACTAAAGATTAAGTCTCATATATTATGTACAATTAACTGTGTTACAGTCGTATATGCGAAATGATAAATATATAAATTAATAATAATATCGTTTAGTGCCGTGGGCCGCATTGTTCATATCGTTCGTTATTATTAGCCCAATATTTCGTTGACCGATAGGACTGTCGCGGAGCGAGATAATTGGACTTATTGAGCTCTCACTCGAATGTCACGAGTGTGTGTTAAGTGTAAGAAGTATCTAGATCACTGATTTTGTAGATCAAGAAAATATATTTGCCATTTGAACTTAGGTAATTTATTTATTTATTGGTACATCAACAGTGTTACATATAGTTTGTTATAATACAATACTTAATATAGACGTGGTAATATATGCACACCAGTAAGAGATGTACACATAATTGGCTGTACCATGTTATAAAATATTTAATTTATATTCATGTTATAAATTTTAAAATATTTCTGTATAAACCAAATTCTATTAAAAGTTATAATCAATTCAGAATATAGGCTGATAACGCAATATCGATAACGGACCAGGATGAAAGTAGATAAATCAAAGAATTATCAATGTTAATACATATAATTAAATAATTATCGCCTTATATCTATTACTTACGTGCAAGTAGTGGTGAGCAAATATTTCAACTCCATCCTTAAACCACGTAATATGCGGACGAGGAGATCCTTTAGCTATGCACAAAAATGCAATTTTATGTCCCAATACGTATTCAAGATCGAAATGCGATGCGAGCAAAATCTTTGCTCCCTGAAATAAAAATAACAGTGTTTCATTTGCGTACCTAAACAACGGGGTCGTTGGAACACTCGAATAATGCCCTAAATAGATTAGCAATTTAGCAGTTTTATTATTTTGGTAATACTGTCTTTATTCACTAATTACTCATTTAATACATTCGCTATAGCGCTTTGGTTTTTTTTATAGATTGATTATTATTGTATATTGAAATTACAGGAACCATTATATTAATAATTAGGTACATAGATAAATAAATTTAGTATTTAATACAAATAATGTAACATTTTTCTGTACTTACATCATTGCTGTTGTAATACTGATCTGATTCTGGATCTCTGTATTTTCCAGTGATTGGTAAACCAATTTGCACCTGAAAATATGCTTTCATTTTAAGCTTTGTTTCTATAAATTGTATTTACCTTATCTGTCTTCATTGCCAGGCCTTATGGGGACCTAGAGCTATATTTTACGTCATACTTTCCATATTATTGATTATATTTTCAGGGGGTGCTATATTAGCTTTTTATTGATAGTTTTATATTTATAAGGTAAAACGTTAAAATTTATAATAGTTGTAGGTATCATCATCGTCATCAATTCGGCCGTTAAATGTTCATTGTTGAATATAGGCCTCTCTCTTGAGGAGATTTGCTAGTAGATGCCACGCTTGGCACAGTTAGGCTTTGGTGATGTTACAGGTATATGCGTGAAAAATGTGTAGATTTTTTTACCTTTGATTTAGTTCTGCCCCTGGCGCGTCCACGTCTTGCTTCTGCCGGTGAAGCAAGAAACCAGTACAATACAAGTAACCCTAAGAACAACTTCGTCTTCATTAGCAACATTTGTATCTCTTAAAGATTCCTCCAAGTTGCTTGGTCACTTAAAACCCATGAAATGTAACTTGGTAAGGATTAGATGTTCTGGTATGTTCTTGTGAGGGGTCCGATTGCAACTGGTGGTGTCGGCGATTTCTCTCCGCGCCAATCTCTCAATTGACTAATAACGGAGGTGCTCGCAGGAGGGCCCTTGTCTCCCCTATTTGATATATGGCACTCGTCATTTCCTTTCGCATTTCGTACAGCGATACTTTAAATTGGATGTTTATGTTCTAATGGAGCCCGGTGCAAAGACAGACTATCAAAACAATGCGATAAGGGATGTTGTTTACGTAATATTTTGGTTCTTGAAGCAAATAAAGAAAAGCGTCATGAGTGAAAAAGTTATGATATATTGAAAATTGCATTCTTATATAGTTTTTATTATTAAACTTGCAACTGTAATATTATAGTTAGATACAAAGTAATATAATATATATCTTGCTCAATTTATTAATCAATTTAATTTATGAACTACAATATAATTTTCAAAAACTGATCTTCAGAACGTTGCATTTTTTAAGAGAATCTCTTGAGTTTTGTCACTTCAAACAGGGTGTCTTAAGGAGGCGCCTCCTGTAAGATCTGTACTTTTTTCATTATAGGTTATATTTAAAACAAAATTTGACTTTATTCTGAAACAAGTGACTCTAAAACGTACATAAATAGTAATAAGATACTTACAAACAATAAATAAATAATGAAAATATAAACATTGCCGATATTATAGTGTTAATTCCTAAAAATCTATTGCTGATATTTTGCCATTTTATGGGTCAAATATTTATAATGGTTAAAAATGAAGTGAATATTTTTAAACGGTATTCACGTTCACCATTTTCTATGATATTGGATTTTATTTCTAATCAATGCAGAGCCACTTTTCTCAAAAGTTAAAAAACTTAAATCATATTTATAAGCATATAGCTCCTGTTTTTTGTTACGAAGTTTATTTAAAAGAAAATTATTTATCACAATTAATTTCTTTTTTAAAAACTTAAACGTTTTTAAAATTACATAAAACACCTAATTTGTACTTTCAGGGGTATATGGAATGTACCATTTATCACTAATTGTTACCTGGCCAAAGTGTCTACATTGAGAAAACCTGCACAAGTGCTGACATACTCGAAAGAGGAACTAGACCCGGATATGGCATTCTGTCTCAGTCTTAGGAATCTTGTATGTATATTTGTATCAAATTATTACATTTTGTAACTCATTGAGATATTCTCACACATATAGCTTAGTTTCGATTCCCCCGTGATTGTACATTCGTGCTACTTAGATTATATAGATAGAGCATCGAGTCTCAAAAACGGGTCAACTTTAAGTCCGCTAATTGTCAAATTAGCTAACTCGTTCTTTTATCAGTGTTCTATTATGCGTATCAAGATACGTTTTATGCGTAAGTATACGCATATAATGTATCTTAACGTATTATTTAATAAATAAAAGTAGTGTTTACTCATTAAAAAAAGTGCAGAAATTATAAGTATAATAATATAGAAGTTATAAAGGATTCATTCATAACTATTTATCACACAAAATTGTATGATAAAGTTGACCTGTTTTTCTGGAAGCATTTCTATGGAGGCACTCTGTCTTTATATAATCTAAGGTGTGCTACTATCACACAACTACTAACTATGGTTGTGTTTAATTGGTATATACAATATTAAAATGAGAATCTACTTTAAATATATATTACTAACAATACAATTTCCCGCCCATAAACTACTAGGAGAGTAAATCCATACAGGAGATGATAACAATATGTTTCAGTAGTCGTTGTGTTATTGAAATCAAAACATTTATAGCATAAGTAGTCAACAATTGGTCAATGGGTACAAAGCAATAATTGATAATAGAGAGACAGAGGCACTTAACCAAAATGATATGTAAAGAAATTGTTAGACGTGACCAGTGACATTGTTTATAGATATAGATGAATGCAATTGTACCTCGTGAATAATTTTAATAAAACGTGTTGTATTTGTCTTATGAAAGTAATATGATACAATTTTTTTTTATGCAACTTAGAATTTCAAACAAGCTGACGGCCCACCTGATAGAAAGTGGTAACTGTCGTAAATAACATTATCACGCACTTTAGATATATTGAATAGTTAAAATAAAAATGCATGATACATCATATTTTATCATCTTGTACATATACTTGCTATTGTCCGCGATGTTGTACGAATGCATTTTGCAAGAAGGAAAACTAATGAATTCAAGATAAAACACACCGAATATAAGTTTGATTATTAAGAATATAACTGTGATAGCTACATCCAATTTTTACGTTTAGGTTTTTACGTGATGTCGGAACAAACAAGCAAAAATTCGAAAAAATATTGTTTTGACTTTTATTGCTCTTATTACCTTAAATATATTACTGTCGACTTGGCCTGCCAATCTTTTCGATTGTATTTTTTTATGTTTGTTACCTCATATCACCGTCAGTTGTAAACCGATTTAGAAAATTTTATTAAAATCAATTCAGTAGTTAAGAATAAAAATAATTGGTTTCGCCACAATCTTTTAAAATTTTTGTTTTATTTTTGAAAAATACAGTTTTATTATTTTAATTATATATAATGTATTTTATATCTATTTTGACACTTATTTTGTTGTATGGTTTTCTGATATACGATTTACTATTACTTCAACATTTTTAATTCTCTTCGATCACACAATGCATTCATGGCCTAATGACAAAAACATTTTATATGTCCATTTCAGAAACCTACCGTAAAGTTTTTAAATTATGAAATTCAATTATGAAATATTATAAATAAATAACAATAATTAAAATATAAAAATAGAAAGGTTATAATAAAATCATATTAATTTTTATTTGTAAATAAAATAGGGCATTCATATGCATGTCAGCAACGAGTTGGACTTCGGCCATCTAGTGAACCCTGAAACATATGACATCAGCCGCACTCACCCTGACGTGTACCAAGTGCTCGATAATAAGATTGAATGGGAGAACCGTTACCTCAACGAAAACTACTCCCTCAATTTCGCTCCAGACAGAAAACACTTGATGGTGAGTGTAATTACGTTTTTTTATAACATACGACGAGAGCATTCGGCTTTTTTTTAATGGGTGATAATGAAATGGTAACCTCACCATCGCTATCGGTATATACCGACGGGGCACCAGTGAAGGATGATAGGTGAGGATGAAGCAGGTCAGTTAGCCCATCCTGACGAATTCAACAATAATTGTTCACGATGGTTTCCAGGGGGAACCACGTGGATGTCGACCTAATAGGGCATATTGCTAGCAATGGGGCTATCAACGACCCGTCAAGTGACCCCCACGAGCATGCGGGCCACCTGATAGTAAGTAATTACCGCCACTCATAGGCACCAGCAACTTCAAAGAAATTGCCATTGCCAGCCTTAGGAAGAACAAAATTTACTCTTTTCTTGAAGGTTTCAATATCATATCTGTTCGCAAATACTGATGCTAAGATTTGGATCCACATGAAAAATACATGTGTCCAAGCCCTTAGACAAGTAGCTAACAAATTTATATGTTTTATTTTATTACACGCATGAGACAGCAAGGCCCAGCATTTTCTATCAGATTCCTTTGCCACTTTGTATAAAAAATTTATTTCGATGCTATATTTTTTTTATACAACATAGAATGGCAAACAAGCTGACGGCCCACCTGATGGAAAGTGGTAACCGTCGCCTATAGACATGAGCAGTACCATGGAAATAACAGAGTATACTGTTTCGCCCATGATACTCCCCATGCGTTGCCATTCCTGAGGACTTAGGTGTTATTCCTCTGTACCCAGTAAATTCACGCCATATCCCACCCTTCAAACCGAAACACTGCCATGCAAACACAACTGCTACACAGTTGAAACACGAATGGGACAGAGATACACAAGCAATCGACTTTTGTACAAAGTCTCCCTCTGGTATCTGCTAGTCTATAAAGACAAGTTTACAACGAGTCGGTTGCTCCAAACTCGAGACAAATCAGTGTTGTTGATCAGCACATAGCTGCCACCTACGTCTATTGTGTATATTGACATTAAGCCAGTGCGTCAGTGTGGATTAAAATTCCCATTGTATATTTTTGGTGTCAGGCCGTTGACTTCATGTAAACAAAATAAGTCAGTTTTCGTCGCCGATTTAACGCCTGTAAATAACCCAATGTAAACTCTACTACTCTATCGTAATAGAATAAAGTATAAATTAGAAAATGAAACATAAATAACAATGTAATTAAATTAACAAATCTCTACATAGGAAATCAATTAGAAGGAGGCGTTACATAAAGTGATTTATACTAGTTAGAGAGTTTTAGTATCGGGTTGTGAGTTTTGGCTTTCAGAACATATACTAATAAGTAAACGTAGAGAATTATCATATGTTTCATTTATATGTTCGAAATTATTATATTCAGTATTATGATATTCGCCAAGTACTACTATGCCGTAGATGCATGCCATTTTATGAAATATTAGAATTTCAACCATAATACGAGTAGTAGATATATTCTCTAATACATAAACTGTCAAGAATGTTATATGCTATTAGAAAGTGACAGAAAATCTAGATGGTGGCATGTTACAAGTAAACCAGAATTGAAAATTTAAATAAGTTCTATTTCTATATTGGCCTGATCAGGAATTCAATCTAAAACATCAAAACCTACTATGTGTGACTTTAAAATTTATTATTTATACATATTTAATTAAAAAATATATCTTTGTTTACAGCCTTGTCCAGATGTCTACTGGTTCCCTATGATGTCAAAGCGTTTTTGCGTAGAGTGGATCGAAGTTATGGAAGCTTATGGCCAATGGAGCGATGGTTCCAATCGTGTAAGTTTTTAATGTCATTATAATTTTTGGACAAGGTCTAACAATCACTATACTTATAAAATTTTATCACTTTTTTAATAGAACATGAGTCAAAATAGGTTTTTGTGGCTTTTACACCAAACCATTCATGTGACCGTGTCATCTGGGAAATGATCATTAAAATTTTTAACCTAGTATTAAATATTTGAATGATATGATCTGCCAAAATTGGTGTACGACATATTTCCAATAAGTGAGTCGGTCACCTATTTATGTTTGTTTCTTTTTTTTTTTATAGGATAATCGTCTTGAGGGTGGTTACGAGGCAGTCCCCACTCGAGACATCCATATGAAGCAAGTAGGTCTCGACAAGCAATGGCTGTACATCTTAAAGGAGTATGTGAGACCACTCCAGGAGATGGTGTTTACAGGATATTATCACAATGTTAGTATAGTTTCTGAAATAATTTTAATATTTACACATATTCATTACAATTATTAGTGATACTATGTGAAAATTACTTCAAAGTCCATTTGTTAATTTTAATATTATTAAATGTGCCAGATTTACTCGCGATATATATATATATATATATATATATATATATATATATATATATATATATATATATATATATATATATATATATATATATAAAATTTCAACTGAGGTGTCAATAAGTCAAATAATTAACAAAGAAGGCAGAATAAGCAACGATTTCTTTAATTATGAAGTCTGAAGCTAGAATTTATTTATTTTAACCGCCTCTGATTTACAGCCTCCAGTTTCACTCATGAACTTCGTGGTGCGTTATCGTCCCGACGAGCAGCCGTCACTGCGGCCTCACCATGACTCTTCTACTTACACAATTAATCTGGCACTGAATACACCACGTACGTATATTTTACTAATATAATATTGTGTCTAACTTAAACTGGTGCATGAAATAAAATTAATTTATTTTGCTAGAACATAGATAATTTTTAGATGAAATAGGTTTACATGTCCCATATACATTCTGACTCTATGTCAGCGTGCAAATGTTTAACAATATGAAGAAAATTACATATTAATTTCACATTATATTTTCTTTCATTGTTTATATAAATCCTTATCTTAATTCATTACAGTAACAGAAATTAAATGCCTGTACAACATTTGTCCAAATTAATAAATATGTTTTATTTTGATAGGCCATTTAGAAGTTTCAAATTATTAATTTTCCTACTTTCAAAATTCAAACGTAGTAATGTAATATGTAATTTTCTTAAATAGTAAACTGTTTATTATAATTAGCTTTAAAGATATCAGTAGTTTAGTTCAGCAGATTAGTTATAATATTAATTTGTTACTACTATAATATTAACAACATTAATAGTTGTTTTATATTCTAAATATTTATATCACTTGTCGAAAGAGCCTCATTTTTTTTATACAACTTAGAATGCCAAACAAGCTGACGGCCCACCTGATGGAAAGTTGTAACCGTTGCCTATAGACATGAGCAGTACCATGGACATAACAGAGTATACTGTTTCATCCACGATACCCCCCATGCGTTGCCATTCCTGAGGACTCAGGTGTTATTCCTCTGTACCCAGTAAATTCACGCCATATCCCACCCTTCAAACCAAAACACAGCCATGCAAATACAGATGCTTCACGGTTGAAACACGAATGGTACAGAGGTACCCAAGCAATCGACTTTTGTACAAAGTCTCCCTCTGGCCTAATATCGATTACATTTTATGAACTCGCCCACTCTTCCTTTTAGAATAATTCCTTTGTGAATACTTGATCATTCTAATTTATTCTATTGTAATACAGATGTAGACTATGAAGGTGGGGGCTGCCGGTTCATCCGCTACAACTGTTCTGTACGCGATACCAAGCAAGGCTGGCTCCTTATGCACCCTGGACGGCTCACGCACTATCACGAGGGCCTGCTCGTCACCGAAGGCACAAGATACATTATGATCTCTTTTGTTGATCCGTAAATAAGTTCTTATTACAATAAACGTGAAAAGCTCACTTTTTCACGCATTAATATATTTTAATTAAATTAAAATGTTTAATTCAAAAGATAATTGTTTTTTTTTGTGCAATTTGTAAATCGGCATTGAGGTAAACTACAAGTATGAAAGTATGTATGCGTGTATGTCACCAATCTTGCCTCTATATATATAAGTATTCCAGTAATACGTAACAAAATATTTTTATTTTATTATTATTATTATAAAATACAGACCATGTTTCTAAACTTCTTTTAATTTAAATGTTTATTTTACTGATTAGTTTATATTTTAATTATCATGACATCGGAATACATTGGGGTCGATTCTGAAGTGCTATTCGCTTTATAAAATTAAATTTCAATTTGTTAAAATTTTTCTTTTTGTTGGTCAAGTTTCTTTTTTACTTACTTTATTTAATTTAAAATATTAATTTTATGGCTTCATTGTCTACTTTATTTATAGTTTTAGTAATACAATTTTATTGTCTTCAAATATCATAAGGAACAAGAAACGTAGGTTACACAATATCAAGTCTTCTAAGACTCACTATCACATATAAAGCTATATTTGTTATGTACTCGAATAGCCAAAGATACTTGTATTTTTAAAACCTGTCAACGTATTATGGTATGATGAATTGTGGTATGTCAGGTAAATATAATTTTAAGATTACTTGGTTCTTTTCTTTTTTTAACCCGAATCCTAATGACGATTTATGATTTGTAGAAAGGTATATGAAATTATTGTAAAGAAAGTTTTTGTCGATTGTGTGCAATTGAGATAAATTTTTACATGTAAACATGGTTTTGGAGTCACGAGTAAAATGTTAATTAATTGTGGTTTTTGTTTTCATTTATAATATTCTTTAATAGACCATGATAACAAGTCACATGCCTCTTTAACAATTTTCTTGTAGTATAATCTATACTAATATTATAAAGAGATTTGATTATTTAACTCATTAACTACTCGAGCACTTTAAAAAATTCTTTCACCTATTTTTTTTTTTGATGGGTGAGAATGGAATGGTATCCCCGCCTGCGCTAACGGGATGCGCCGGCGGAGCACCAGTGAAGAGTGATAGATGAGAATGAAAACAGGCCTGTTAGCCCATCATGATGAATTCATCACGAATTAACCATGATCGTTTCCAGGGGGAACCGCGAGGAGGTCGACCTGGTTGGGGTATATTGCTAGCAATGGGATTCTTAGTCTCCATTACTAACAATCCCTTTCCCCCTCTTTTACCTATTGAAAGCTACCATATCGGCGCGTATTATAAGCTAAAATCTTTCTATCCATGCCAAGCTGCACTGTCATTATTACATAGGATAAATAATTAGTGATTTTCTATCTATGATATTCTATCATCCTGAAATATTTATAAGCGAACAAAGGATCAGAAAAGTGACAGATATCATGATATAATATTTGTAATTAAAACTTATATATGTTTAATGAACCATTACAATGAATTTGAAGAGTCGTCCAGATTTTCAACAGTTTCTACTGTTTCTTGACTTTCATAATTTCTAAAGCTTTTCGTGGGGTATCGATAATGTTTGCCAAAAGCTGGCTCGGCGTACTTCTTGAACTTTTTGAATTCCTCTTGTTCTTTCAACCATTCTTCCTTTTTCACAAAAGGGACTATGTTCCTCAAAACCTCGGGAACAAATTCATCCATATAATAAAAACGTCTGCGCCATACTTTATGTGTTTCGCAGTAGTTACCTCCGTTGCCACTTATCCAAAACGGTAAGCTGGAGTAAAATACAGATATTATTAATTCATATATACTTATACACATAATAGATTTAGAATTATTTAAGTTTTAAGAAGCCATGCAATTTCATTTAACAAATTAACTCCATATTTAAAAAAAGAAATAGTACTCTAACTAAAATGAGTACAATGAAGATATTAATAAATATCTTACAAAAACAAATGTTCAAAGCAATTATTGAGTACGTGGTTTATTATATCATGGCACGTAATCAACAAGATACCTTCCGATGTGCTCACCAACGGGTGATTCAATGCAATACACAATTTAAAACAGCGTTCTTCCATCTGAGCTTCATCCTCGTCGTTGTATGGACCATTGTACATGATGTTCACATTGATAGCGGTGTATTTTCTACAAAAATCCTCAAGAGCCCCGTAACAGAGCTGTAGCGATCAACGTCAACAACCCTGATAAAAGAAAAGTCTCTAACCATGCATTAGTCGCCTTACAAGCGACCGCGTTCAAAACGAAGTCTCTTAAGTCGACCGATTGTTATACTATTTCACTACTCGGACAATCTTTTAGATTCAATATCTATGGAAGTAAGACAATATAATCAAACACTACCATGAGAATATAGCGTGAGCAGATTATAATGATACCATCTACAAACGATACCTAAACTATTAGATGGAAAAGTAATCAGCATCAGATTTCTGAAACCAATGGCTTTACCTGTATGCGAGTATACTACGAGTAGAATTCGACCCTGACCAAAGTAAAGCTTATACTATAGGTGTTATGTAACAACTATGTAAGTGCCTATACTTACATACTTTTTACATGATTTTGACATGACATTATTAACATGATTTTGTACAAATATATCTTTCCGGGGCCATTTACAATAGCACCGACTTGGCCCACTGAGCCAAAACCATTGACGCAACAGCGCAGGCCTTCACACATGAAATCCAGGCAAAGAAGTTTTTGCGAGGCCCGCACCTGCATCTACTTAAGGAGTTGTAGATAACCCTATATGTGTGTGTACAAATACATAGAAAGAACGCCCATACTAATGTAAACATTCTATATTTATAAAATAATTTGTAATAGCTGACTATTATCTTATAGCCAAAACTACTAAATCTAACAAGCTAAAATTTGGAACAAAGATTTATTTTATAGCATCAGCAGCCGGTAAGCAAAGATTTTCTGAAAATTTAACCTTAAAAAGAAATACGACACCATGCATGTAAAGCTTTACTAAGTTGTGAATAAAAATGGAAGTACAGGTTTAATCTGTAACATTCGGATGAAATCACTACCTATATTAACAGTCAATCCACAAAGGTTTTCAACAATATCGTATGAAATACTTACAGACTAAAATATCTCAAGCCCCATCTATACACGTTGGTGTAAAAATACGCGGACAACGGGTTGAGATGTGGATTCGTATTAGCACTACCCGCGCTCGCAGCGATGGCTATTACAGTAACTCCGATTTGGTAACCGTCAATTAATACCACAAAACCCTTTCGAATATTCTGTTTGTTTGGTTTATGTACTGCCATAGATATCTCTGAAATAAGAAACAATATTTTAACACTCTCATTAATTTTAAATTACTTACGCAGTACAGAAATAGTATAAGCGTATTATTAACATAAAACTAGGTAAAAAATTGACATTCTAACTTAAAAATAATACTGTTAATTTTCTCAGAGATTTCTAACAGATTATATAACCACACACACTAGCGAAGACATAAAGGGATATATTATACACAATTTATATACTATAAATTATAAGGTTTCATTTTAATCATAAGATAAAACATCCATAGAAATGAAAGGTATCATGGGCGACACAGTATACTCTGTTATGTCCATAGTAATGCTTATGTTTATACGCAACTATTACCACTTTCCATCAGGCAAGCTGTCAGCTTATTTGCCATCCTAAGTAGTATAAAAAATATAAATATATTTACGAAATATTAAATCTTCGTGACTTGATTTTATTATATCAAACTAGCTATTTCTGGCGGCTTAAACCATTGCTTCCTTTATCATAGCAGTTTCGTGAAAAAATTTATATCCATTAAGAAAAAAATCATCTAAAATTCTTATTAGAAAAGATAAGTGCTTTCAAAATTTCAAGTATTTACTAACTCCATCTTCCTACATCCGGCTGCACATTGATAGACTAAACTTCTCATATTATGTCTATCTAATTATTAAGGATAATGTTACCAAAGTACAACAACGAGGAGTGCCAAGCGCGTCACAGTATGTTCTGTGATATCCTTAGGCGACTATTACAGTTTCCCATCAGGTGGTCCGTTAACTTATTTACTCATCTAATTATCATAAATATTAATGTCGTTTTGTAGATGTGACAACCCAAATTTCTGCTACCTACTAACCGAGGGTTTCGCGGAGAGAGGCGCTCTAGGCACCTAATTTATCGGCGTTTGCACGACTACAAAGAGATTCGTTTTTACTTCTTTTTTATTCTACGATATTACGTTAATAATTAAACAATTGGCTATTTTTATTGTAAACATATCAAAATTGATAAAACTTGTACGGAGCCATATTAAATGGTTATCCAAACAATGAGAGAAAAGTTAGTAATGATTGTTTGCAATGACAAAAATACTGTGTAACTTAAACAGTGAAAAATCGAATTGAAAACCTCCTGCTTTAGAAGAAGAGCAAAATTTCGTATTTACTCTATAATGGATAACCATGAAAATCATAATGATAATATAAATTTCTATAAGTAGGCAGTTGTTTTATAATGTTATTTGCAAGTACAATTATAGCTGTGTTCAGAATCTGTTTTTTATTTTTATTTGACAGGTATTTCGAGCAATAAATTATTGACGTAAATAATAAAGAGATTTATTAAGACATCGAAGAGAACTTCGGGCAAAATTAAGCAGTACCTGAAGTACTTACCTAACAAGACAACGGCCGAGTTACGATAGATACCTATTAAAAGTTGTTTGCCTAAATGATATAGGAGGTAACTTATAATTATCTAAGAGTCCAAATATAATATAATGATATAAATAATTGAAACATATGCAATGCAAACAATGAATTGTACATATATAATGTACAAGTTTGTGTTTCATTTATTTTATAATCTTTTAGCTTGTTTCATATAAATTAAATTTTAGAGAGTCTAAAGTGTGAATGTGCTTGAAATCTTATTGTTTATTTATTTTATTTATTTAAATATCTTTATGGTCCTAAAGAAAATATAGTATAAAAGGCGAACTTAATGCTACTTTAAATCCTACTGCTTGTTTTTGTTTTAATATAACTTTATTCAATGATAACCTAAACTATGTACACGAATACATCGATATACACTGGCGGGATATCAGTGAAAGATAATATTTTCCAGTACAGTGATAGTTTCCATTTCTAGGGGAGCCGTGTCGAGATCAACCCTTATTAGCAATGGGGATTAGCCTCCCTATTACTAACAATCCCTTCCCTTCACCCTATTCCTCTTCCTATGCAGGTGCTACCTATATCGTTTATTTTATTTTATCTTTTTCCTGTTACAGCGAACATAATTATCGAAAGGCTTGGTCTACTCTTGGTATGATAATATTAATAATAAGATGACTAAAAACTAAATGTTTTACATATAGACGTAATAAAAAAAGTCACATATTATTATTATTTTTATAGTATAATGCAAGTTGCCAGTGTAAATGCTGTAACCACACGCAATCGTATACAATAGAGAGTTCAATGAGTAAGGTGTTTCGAATTTGGCACTTATAATTTTTAATTATCCAAATATTTAATTTTAACACAATATACCTGTTGTTTATAATAATACATTTAATTTAATTAATCAAAAACAACTGAACGTCATTAGTTGCTAAGCTTTCAGTAAGTAAAAAATACTATAGAAAAATATTACAGTAAACAAATACTGTAGAAAAATGTATTGGAATCACAAGGTATTGTATAAATATATTGTAGGTATATTTAAGGTATTGTATACTTATTCTAAAAAAATAAAACTAAATAATTACTATAACATACATACCAGTTGTAGGGATAGCCAAATCAAGGCCCAAGCGAGGTTTCCAAAAAAATGTCCCTGGCACAGATCCCTAAATATATATTAAATATAAGAATTAAAATGAATTAAAAAAATATAACTAAGCAATTACAAGTATTACGTCTGAACAGTTAAATTCACTGATGTAGATAAATTATTCAGGTATGAAATTCAATCTTGCACTTGAACAATTCATGCTCCATTTCATACGTAAATTATTAATTACAAGAAATAAATGTTTAAATTTATTTTGTTTAAAGATTTTATTGCAATAAAATCTATTAAATACAAAAAGTATTACTAAAATTGGTAACGTAACAGTAATAGGCATTGACGTCTGTCAAACAGAAACAGGTGAAAGTACTGACACATCCATTGTTAATATATGAATATTAATTATTTATAGAATAAAATATATGTTTATTGATAGCTTGTATATTATAATAATTAACAAGATGTTCTTACGGGACATTTACAACTGACATAAAGAAAGAGGTTCTAAATTCGGTTGCATTGTTTTTTTATGTTTCTTTCCTCTCTCAGCTGTAAACTAATTTGATAAACAAAATCGGTTGAATAGTGTAGTTTTTAAATCAAAATAACTAAAATTTTGCCACAACTGAAGTCAGTTTTTCTTTGTGGGACACAATATTAAGATATAAACATATTTTAATAATATACAATCTCATAACGTATAAAATAAACATTTAGATAAATTTGAATCAATTTATCAATTTGTTCATCTGGATTAATTTTCCGGGCGTGGGGTTCCGCTCGATGCTGCACGATCACAAATTTTATTAATGTACATAAAGGTTAAAAATAAAACGCAACAAAACTGAACAATCGACAACGAAATAAAAAATATAAATGATCAGGTCTATTTGTGTCTAAAAAACATAATGAATCTATTCTTTTAATAATAAAAACACTCACCGTAGCCATTGGTATTACTATAACCAGCAGAAATAGAAACTTTTCATCCATTTTCAATAAACCGATGTAGTTCTGCATAAAACACAGACCGCTGCAATAAGCGCACCCTTCTGTTCTCGAATGCGGTGTCTCTATGCGTAATGTTATGATCACAATAAATTCCGAACGCGTGTGGCAGTAGATTGCGTTGCGATGGTAGAAAATGAAAATTCCATTTTGTAAACAACATTGTTACATTTGTTATGATGCAAAGCTTGGCTTTGTAATATTATGTATTTTACTGTTCTGTGTAATTTACCACATATCCTGAACTAATTCTATCAAAAAAATGTTTTTGGCGCATTTTATATAATTATATCAGCCATTAGCTGTCCATTACAACAACAACATACTCCTCACCCATTGACAGGCAGATTGGCAACCGGAGTCATGTTTTGGTAATGTTTTAAGAGGGACGCTGCTGCTCATCTCGCGAACTTTAACTTCCCTTTGCAGCCTGTTACGACACCGGCGAGAAAGGAAGAGGCGAATAATTCTATTCCGGGACCACATGGTTAATTTTATATACATATTTCAATTACAGACTCTAAACGCAGTTGAACTAATTTATTCATCTTTAATCAATCATTACAAAAATTACAAAGTGCGTTATATATACTATAGGTATATTATTTCCAAAAATCTAAGTCAGACAGTCTTTAGGTTATATAGCCCCTTCTGCCTTAACCCTTCTCGCCCAATCTCAAAAATCCATTTGTATTACCTGACTGAAATATTACTAAATTATTCATGCAGAGTTGATTAGTTACCTTGCGCTAAATCTGAGTGTGCTATAGAGACTATTTCTGATTTTAGTGAAGTCATTAGAAATTACTCTCTCGCTGCACGAGTGAAGTATTTATTCTTAAATAAAATCCGAACACAACATTAAAGTTAAGTTTTTCAGAAAACGGATAGGTATAAAAATATTCTGGAAACCGATAAACATTAAACCCGGCGGTTTCATTTTTTTTTGGATAATTTTTTACATTTATTTCTAATTATTTAGTAATTGTGATAGTATATTTAGTAGTAGAATATTTGATATTTAGTTTATTTATCTAAACATTTTATTAGTGTTTCTCATTTTTCCATGACTACGACCCATTCCAGAGTACGATTCCCTCGAGCTAGAGGGCTTCGTCCCCCTGACTTCCAACGGTGTAACTAATTTACGCAAGTCAGGTATCGAAACCGACGATTCTTATGTTGATCGAAAAATTAAATGCAGCCGTCTACAAATATTTTATAAAAAATTTAACACACGTTATTTCTATTTGAAAAACCTATGTTAACTTTTTTAACAAAGTATGGAGTCAGTGGATGCAGATTGCTCAGGACTATTACAGGACAGAACAGGACAATATATATAAATATGATGGTTGTAAACCGGATATTGCATACGAAGTTGGAATAGTTTAAAAAAATTTGGATAGAAACAAAAATAAGAAAGATATTTAACAAATAAAAAGAATACTGAAGTATCTTAAAGGAACTATTAATATTGGACTAGAATACAAGAAAAATAAAAAACGACTCACATGTCATAGAGACGCTGATCATGTTGGCAATGATACTAGTGGCTGCTCTACAAGCGGAAGCTGAGCTTTTGTACTGGTTTAGGGATGTCCTGATGAAGTACGAAGCGGATAATGATAGCCCTCTCGTCCATAGTAGCAGAGGTAATGGCTGCTAGCGAAGTATGCAGTGAGCAGTAAGATAATTTGGCTCAAGAGGTTATTTAATAAAGTAAAGATTAATTTGATAAGCCTATTCTACGCATTAATTGTACAAACTCATCATTGGCCAAGACAATTGGTGTTATACCAGAAAATGCAAAAAAAAACAAATAAAAAAAGGAAAATATAAAATTGTATAATTTAAAAACTCCTATATGGACTTTTTATCAAAGAAGCAAAAAATTTTTCAGCAGGTAGAAACAAATATATCACCTTTAGAAAATACATCATATTTTACAGACTTTCCATAAAACATTGTGAAGACAATAAAATGGAAATTTGAAAAGCAAATTAATATTTTATTTTTAACAAACTGATTGATTCATGCTTATTAGTCACTCCTAGAAAGGACAGCTCAATCTCAAAGAATAGCCCCTAGTTTAACATCATATTCAAGTCTTATAATCTATAAAATAATAAAATGCAAATCAGTGAAATAAAACCTAAACAAAAAGAATCAGGAGATTTTTTCTAAGACTCTGAAAATCGAGTATGAATCTACTCGTAACAAAGGTTACAGAGCGTGTTACCGATCACTTATAAAGTTGGCTCAAAGAATGTCTCTCTAGTTAACGGCCAAGTTAAGCACTGATGAAATTTCAAGTCCTTCATGAGACCTAGTCCTGATTGTCGATAATAACCTTCCTCAAAATAACTGGCTCAAAAATAGAATATACAGTTAACCCTATCAACGATGGTACTTTGCGGGTTGTTATTATTCAGTTTGCTGGAGGAACGCCACAGCAATCAGCTAAATAAAGATTGAAGTTGTTGAAGACAACTATTTTAAATATTATTATTTTTAGCTCATTAATATCTACTATATTTTTATTTTGTGTGTCCCGGCAAGGAATGGGCCACCCCTTCCTTTCCCGTGGGTGACGTAAGAGGTGACTGAAGGAGGACCAGGGATGAGCAGCAGCATCCCTCGTAAAACATCTCTAAAAGCCTAACTGCGGTTGCCAACTTGCCTGCCAAGCGTAACAACTACTGGCGAAACTCCCCTTATGGGGAAGGCTTATGTCCTGAAGTGGACAGTCAACGGCTGAAATAATAATAATAATAATATTTTTATTTATTTTGATGTCAATTTTCCCTGTTTAACTTGTACGCTTCTATTACTCTAAAACTTAAAAAGGTGGCTTTTATTTATTAATTATTTAATTATTTCTATATCTATAGTCCTGCTCATTTATTGTAGTTCCCTTTGTTAAAAAAAATATAAAAAAATATTATTGAAATATTGGAAAATACCGGAAAATATAAAGAATAATAAAATACATTTCAATGAAAATATATAATTTCTTTTTAAAAGCGACAAATATTGGAAGAAATTACATCGGATACGAACAGCGCTTATGTCTACTACTACCTGTACTAGGACAATCGATTGAAAATGTCTCTGTCCTTCAAACTCCGAACCATTAGTTATTCAGTTTCACTTTACCAACTGTTAATTTATACGTATAAACGAATTTGGTTAGAAACGTTTTTATATTAACAGCTTTGGTTATAAACAAATTATTGACAAATAGATTATTATCTGTTAAAATAACGTATTTGGAAATTTTAAAACGAATTTAAAAACTAACTGGAATGGCTTATTTTATTTGTATCTCACATCCACTGAATTAAAAATTAAAAAGAATTCTTTTTAAAACAAATTTTTATCGTTAATTGTATATTTGATTCTATTTCAATAACGTCATTTAAAATACACACCCAGGCCAAGGCCATATCGAATACGAATATAGGGTACCCGTAAATGAAAGACACCGAAGACAAGAATAGCATTAAAACAAAAAGTTGTGCGCACAAAGAATATTAGGTATAATTAATTAAAACAAAATTTTGATCTATGTATACATACATAATTTCATGAAATGACAATGAGTCTTTCACGTGATTTGAAATAGTAAATGATGGAAATAATATTCTATTGTTATAATGTAATGGACTGAAAAAGTCAACAAACAACGCACATCCAATAATAATATTCATTATGACATAGAATGTGAATTAGAAATCCAAACGAATATACAAAAAATAGCGATATAATATATCTTATGACTCATCATTAATAGGACCGTTAAATGACGTGCGCCTAACTCCGATGCAGAATTTTTTTATAATACGGGCTAATATTTTTGATGATAATGATCAAGTTAGAGAAAGTAGTATATCGTTTATGTATGAGTGGTAGCCCACTCATACATAAGCGATATATATCTTACTATAAATTAAGTGCTGCGGCGTTTCTTCTTCACTGTGACAAAATCTGAAAACACTTTTTGGACATAATCCTAGTGACCCATCATGAGCTTATTTAGTTTGCAATGTCCATGTTTGACTATCAGATAGTAAATAAATATATTATTAATTATGAAGTTAAAACTTAGATTTAGTTTACACATTTTATTATAGCTATAATTTCTGCCTAGAAGGTTATGGTGTATTTGCCTAAATTTAAAAAGCTGTGGACTATTGATCTAATACCATAGATACCATATCTCACATTTCCTTCTATGAACCAAACTAGGTCAAGTTCTAAATAAGACGGTAGATAATCTATATTACATTTGTCTCTTTTAGATATTTTTATGTTGTCATATTTTTCAAGGGTTTTGAGCGTCTGTGATTGCCATGAGTTTTTTTCATAGGAACTATTTCGAAGCATACCGAATTTAACCCTTTCCTGTACAAATAGGGGCAGAAGTATTAAATTCAGTAATGCGTTTAGAGCTGCTCCCGGCGTAGTACTTGTGGCACCTATAATTATCAGATTTTGAGATTTATCTAACTTCTAACAGAGACAACGATTTTGAGATTTATTTAACTTCTAACAAAGACAACGATTTTGAGATTTATCTACATTCAAACAGAATACTAATAGCAAGTAAATACTTGCAATAATTTTTGTTAACATCTTGTTATAGTTTTTACAAATCTCGGACGTTAGTAAAAACTGTTTATAGCTACTAGTGCCTCACTCCTAATCTTACTCCTACCCATTATGCCAACTCAACAGGAGTCCTATTTAAAACTAACTGAAGAGCAATTAAACAAGCTTAAGTGTCTTCGAAAGTTATGTAGTCGTTTCATATTTGGTAGTTTTTTTAATCACGTTGTAATCTGCATATCCTTCCTCTACTCGGTGCTTTTTAACCCACCTCGAGTTCCCCGCTCATTCCTCTTTTTTATACTGAATCCTTTACTGTCCAGACAGTTTGCCTGTGGAACTTAGGTCTTGCCTCTATTCGGTAAGCTCAAACACTAGCTTTAAAACCTTTGTCCCCTCCTTTAAGTACTATTTTCCTGTGTTCTCTCTTCACTTTACTCCTTATCTTTTTCCTCTTATCGTTATCATCACATTAATCATTACCTATCCATTATTGAACTTGATATATATATTTATCTATACATTTTTTAATTAAATGTATGTATATATTAGTATATAATATGTGCGCCACCTACCCTTTATATTTGTTTTTCAATTTCCTGTACCCAAAGGTTGTCTGGAAAAGATTGCTTAGTGATAAGACCACCTTTTGTGTCACTTCGCATTAAAAAGTAAATAAAACTCTATTTGAAAAATTAGTTCTGGATACAATAGTGCTGATATACTTGAAGAAGGTAAAAATAAAGAAAAAAGTGTAAATAAATAAACATCTCAATTATGTCATATCTTAAGATCCTACTAGAGTTCTATATGGAGTCATGTATTGTAAAAATATATAAAATTTTTTTAGACACAAAAAGTATCAAATGTCAAGGGATTTCGACGAATTAAAGATATAACCAAATTGACGTTATTAAATTACTACGTTCACTGTCTTCATACAATATTTTAGGAGAATACCACGAAAGAAAATACACGAGTTTAGTATCAAAATAAAATAACTCGCATCGATGTATGTTTACAAAATAACAACACCAAGTGTAAAACATGGCATGTTATATATGGGCCTGTTGGGATAACATGGGCAATTATTTTTATTTAATTATCATTTTACACAATATAAAAAGTTTATGATTTAAGAAAGCACAGTATACAGTATTATTTAAACCACTAAAGTTTGTCTATAACTAAACACGATTACATCGCGATAAAGCGAAACTTCCTTTATCATTTTGTAGAATGGTTATGTTATCTGCTATTAGAGACGCGGACATTATTTTGTTTATGTGACTTTCGCCCCATTTAACTATGTAAGTTTAGGTGTAGCCGAGAAATAGGTCGAAACAATAAACATACAAAAGAATTTATATTAAATGCAAAGCTGTGTGGATAAGTCCTAGTGAACGGAGGCAGCTGTTTCAGCCACTCTGCATTAACGTCATGTATGACGTGTCGGATGAAGAGATACTGGACGTAAAATAACAACAGCTGTTTTACACCACGCCACCATCTGACTGACCATCTTCAATAGGGAATAATAGAACAACTTTCACTCGTATACGTATGATACAGAAAATACGTACCTATCGTGATACAATTTCAAAGATTGGATAATATTGTAACAGATTCTTAGACTATTTCTAAAGTGAAAAAAGTGTTGTCCTCCTCTCTCCTACTTGCTGTGCCCAACAGGGTCCATAACTGAAGTTGAAATGTTATCATTGTTATTACATTATGGAATGCAATAAGAAATAAATAAATAAATATATCAATCATAAAGGATGACTAATTCATTTATGATATGTTAAAAATCAATAAATATTGACAAACGCTTGTGGCTTATACTAATTTCATGATAGTTCAAACGCTTTATGTTATGGTCGGATAATATGATTATCTAAGTAATACTTATTACTTTTTGTGTAAATTTTAAACGTATAAAAAAGTTATAGAAAGAGAAATGGACACAAGGAAGTTTATAACTAGCACGTTTCAAAATGTTTCTACTTCAAAAACAAACATAGTACCGTTAAGTCGCATACAAGTATAATGTTCAACAGAAAGAATTTCAAAAAGCTGACAATCCTTTAAAAATAGTGAACGTAGAGAGACCAATTTTCAAATTTATTAAGTGTATGCGACTCGTATTTGAGAATATATTATATATATGTTATGTAGGTCACTTTTAATGTTCCTAACTAAATTAAATTAGTTAGTCCTACCTAAATTTAAATAGTAATATACTCTAACGAAGGATGTGTTTATTCATCTAAACTAATAATATACAGGTCCGTGTGGTCCCGGCATAAAATAGGCCACCCCTTTCTTTCCTGTGGGTGTCGTAAGAGGAGACTTAAGAAACTTAATAATCGAAGGATGGGCAGCAGCATCCCTCTTAATCTCATCTCAAAAAGCCTAACTATGGTTGCCAACCCGCCGGCCAAGCGTGGCAACTATTGGCAAAACGCCCCTTATTGGGAAGGCCTCAGCACTGGACAGTTAACGGTTGATATAATAATATAAAAAATACTATAAATAGGAAGGATAACCGAGTAGACATCCGTGCGAAGTTGGAGCGGATCGCAGTTAAAAATAAATTTATTTATACTATGGTTATAATGGTTTTTAATAGAAATCAGTTTTTTTTATGGGTGATAATGGAATAGTAGCCTGCGCCAAAGGGATACGCTGGCGGAGCACCAGTGAAGGGTGATTGATGAGAATAAAAACAGGCCAGTTAGCCCATCATGATGAATTCATCAGGAATTAACCATGATAGTTTCCTGGGGGAACCGCGAGGAGGTCGACCTGGTTGGGTATATTGCTAGCAATGGGATTCTTAGTCTCTATTACTAACAATCCCTTTCCCCCTAATAGAAATCAATTTGACATTTATTTTTGACATTATTCGTTCATAAAACGTATTCAGTTATTGTGCTATCGTAATTATTACATAAATATCAAAGGTCATCAGAAATATCATATTATTAAATGTCGGCCACTTATAGAACTTGAGTCCGTATAAAATATATTTATAATGAAGGAAGACAATAGCGCTGCGACGCGATGGTGGTGGAAAGCTGAACTACCGAAGGACATCGTGGTCGCGGCATCGATCTGCCCCGCCCGACAGCTATTTGTGCGCACTTCACTCTAATACTATTCCATACTTTGCTCACTTCACGATACCTTATGTATGAAACGTAGTATCTATACGTTTTTATTGTTTAGCCACCCCCCATTAACAAAACCTGATACTGCTTGGCGGCATAAAGGTCACTAGTCGAAGAGGGGCTGTTGTAATCAGGCTATGTTTTCGTTCGTCATCGTCTATTCGCTTTTTTTTTATTTCTCCCATTTCGAAGGTATAGTGACATTAACGAATTAAAAGACCCATAACGCGATAAGTCATTTGGGGATTAGTGAGAAACCGACCGTATCGCTGTGGACGTTTGTTGTTGTGAACATTGGCGATCGCGGCAAATTTAAATTGTAATCGTAAATATTTTGTAAACAATATTCACGGTGCTACTCGTTCGGTTGACTGCAATAGTATTAATTAAAACGCATGTTATCAAAGATACTATAGATACTCATATTTTTATTAAAAGTGTTTGAAAGTGGAAGATTTCAGTGGTTTTATCAAATTAAAGTGACTAGTAGCTTGACGCGTCTTACATTATTACGGTCGTCAACGGATATTATAAAGCAGCACCACGTTTCGTCACGGCAAATTACGTTATTCAAACCATTTTCCTTCGAGAGGGTCTCCATTGAATACACGAGGCCAGTCAGTAAAAGCGGCGTCATTGAGTCGAATCGAAGCATCGCCAAGACTGGCTGCAGGACCGGAGTGCGGACACGGCGGGGGCGGCGGGGCCGTCGGCGGCGGCGGCGCCGTCCGCCCTGGCTACGGATATGAAGCACTCTCGGCGGCTAGCGACGGTAGCGAGGGAGAACCTGACGACGCGCCTGAATATGCCGCCTTTGAAATGGAACTCTCTGGTGGAGGTGAATCCGCAGAAGGGCCTTCATCACGTGGCTCTACGAAAGTTAATTTTCCTCCCGAAGTGGAGCTCGAACGACGACCCACCGCTACGGCAGCTACTATGGCTGCCTCTGCAGCCTACCACCGCGGTCGAGGACGCTCCATGAGTGCCTGGAGTGACATAAGTCGTTCCAGCATACGGTTCGAAGAAAGGTATGTTAGATATTATATACAAAATATTATATTTATTACACACGCAATGCGTTTACTCTAGAGTTAACATCAGGTAATAATATAAGATGAAGTAGATTATCGTTTTTCGCAAATGTCGCAACCGACCGTCATTACACTACCTGAAATATATAACAGTACCTATAGAGGTAGTAGGTAACATGCGACGAGGGTGCTGTGGAAATGTTGGTGCTAGACAGAGGGAGATTGAAAAATATATCATGCCATTAGACCATCGAAAGGGAGAGAGGTTAAGTACCATTTAAATAGGGGTTTCTACATCCACTCACCATTTAGCATATAGTTATCAATAAAATAAGCAGGCGCCATTGGCATCATGAAAATGCTTGACGCATTCCAGTGTATCAGGCCACGTCTTGCCATGCGCATTTGAAACCGCGGCTATCTAAATCTCTGTATCCACAAGGGCGTTAGTGCGTTAACTAGATATCAACTCTAAAACGATTGAGGTTGAGGCTGATAATGCTGACTCGAGACGCGTTATCCTAAGTTACAAATAAATCACAAATTTTAAATTACATATGAGAAATCAAATAAGAACCCACTCGTTAAATAATTTGTTATCTTCATACTCATAACAAATACGTTGCGTGTTAAATATTTTACATTACGAGGACAACTGACATTAATATTAATTGTCAAAATTCCGTGTTTCTTATGTTTCAATTTTTCATACTTAATAGACTATGGTCTGATATTCGTAGAGTAATATTTTAAATTAATATAGCATACGTATTTCATATTTTTAACTTTTTTTATGAATAATATTGTCCAGTGAGTTACAAACGTGTCATCGAATAATGTTCCATTACAGCTATCAAGAACTATCTCAACACTGGAAAATGAAATACAATTATATGTCCCGTTTCTTCAGTGGTCAAAGAGGTCTCCAAATTCATGTCAGTAAAGTACAATGAACAAGATTCTGAAGAGCCTATTTCCTAATTTTTAAGTAGCATCAACTATCAAAACAAACCTGTCTATAAAATATTAATCTGAAACGTTCTATCCACCTAGTAAAGTAAATATCTAGAGCGGCTCGTTCGTATGGCAAAAAAACTACCTGGAAAACAATTGTTTCAGGCAACTAGAGATATAGCTAGGAGTTTTTACTTACTTTCCCTTATCATTTACTATATGCAGGCATATGGCTGCCATAATCGTTTCATAACTAGTTCAATAAAAACAATCTTTTGTAGACTGGAAACAGAACTTGAATCTCAAACCTTCTCATACACCGCACAATCCACGATAAAACCAATATTAATAAAAAAGTTTACCGCAAAATGAACGACGGAGACATTTGAAATTCCGCCGAATAGTATAATAGAATAGAATAATCTTCTCCTATAATCTTGTAGCCCCTAATATGCTTTCCACACTTGCTATTGTACTCTCTAAACATTTACGTCCGATATCCAAACTCCACTTTCTGATGCACCAAAAAATACAGATAATCATATCATAGTCACAATCCAAAATATCCTGCATGCACTTAGGTTCTTCAACAGTAGGTCTGCCGGTAATTTAGACAGCTTAACACCGCAGCACCTTAAAGAGCTTTTATGTGGTACTCTAGACGATACTGGCACCATGGTTTTGGAAAAGATAACTATCATTGTAAATCTCTTGCTCCCTAACATAATAAATTACACCACAATTGTAACTCTATAGAGCTTAAACCTTTGTGCTCTCACGAAAAAGGAGTATTCACCTAATATTGGGATATTTCTGAACGACACCACGTTTAGACTCTCGATCTCTCTCAGATTTGGAGACAAAAGCCACTACAACATTACACAAGAGCCTTGAGATACCACGGTTTTTCCTGCCTTAGGAGGAATTCAATTGTGAGTGACATCATCCGTTGAGTCCTTGTCACCGCAAGCATGCCCACCAATGTAGAACCCCCTAGTTTGATACGTGGCGATAGCAGGATGTCCATGGTCTCTTAGAAGACAGGACGATCGCTTGTGTCTGACTTCACCTGCATCGCTACTTTAATCCTGCCAGTATTCATCTGTTGGAAATGATATATATTTGTGTAATTTGGAATTGAGACTCTGGATCCGTGAGGCCCCAAGGCCATGGGCGTTTTCAAAAATGAATTACGCCGGCTAGTAGAATCCTCTACCAGCTAGAACCTTAGTTTATATCTTGGTCAATGCATCTCTATAGTAATAAAAATTATAATATTTTATCATAATACAATATTTCATGGATTGAATAGTTGAATAGTTAGCATGACAGCATCATATTGAATTGTTCAATCAATAAAAGAGATTTAAAAGAGTGACTGTTGAGTTTCTTACGAATTCTTCTCAGCAGATAACAACTTTTCGAACATTCATAAAACAATGACGATTTATGTGTGCTTTTTATTAATATTTGAATAGAGATTATTTGAATTTAATGAGGCAAGCCTCCTAGGTATTTACTTTACCAGTCGGCAGTATTCTCAGAGAAAAATTTTTACCTCTAAATATACTTTAATGACTTTTTTTTAATATATTCATTAAATTATTTAATTGCAGTTTAGCAATATTATATTGAATTTAAAAATAAGAAAAAATTAAATCAGAGGGACATAATCTTTATCTCTGATTATTTGACACGTATACGAGTATGTTTTTTATAATCTAATATATAAAATTCTCGTGTCACAGTGTTTGTTACCAAACTCCTCCGAAACGGCTTGACCGATGTTTATGAAATTTTGTGTGCATATCGGGTAAGTCTGAGAATCAGCCAACATCTATTTTTCATACCCCTCAATGATAAGGGTGACCCACCCCAAAATATTTTTTTTTATATTTTTGACTACTTTTTTATTTTTATTTTATTATAATTTAGCATTGAAAAATACACATAAGTTTAAATTTTCATCGTTTTACAATCAACCCCTGTATTTTAATTGCGATTTTTATATTTCGCAATAAGTGGTAAAACAACGTTTACGGGGTCAGCTAGTATACCTATATGGTTGAAAATCAACTGAACTGAACAGAACATATATTTAATATGTTTGGAATACTTTATGATATTCTCATATTTGTTGTATGCAAAAAATAAATTAGATTCCACTTTTATGTATAATAATGTATGTAATAACTTTATATGAAATCTTGTAATAAAAAGCCTCATAACAATCTTAGTAAGAGAGCTACGAGTATAAAACACTACTCATCAGAATCACAATTGAATGGTACAAGTATATTGTATACCTACTTCTGTGAAGATGAAGAGTACAATGTGATATTTTCTCTCAGACTATCTTTTTAGGGCATGACATAAAAATGACTAGTAACTACCGACCCGCCTCAAATTCGCATGCGTAGATAGTGTAGGAATATATATGTGTATATATTTTAATAATTTATACCCATCATTCTTGCTAATAATGACACTTTCATTTCATTATGAACAAAAAATGAAAAATATTCCAAATCTAACGATAATAAAAGTCTGTACATATAATTATACAGCTACTTTTTTATTGTTATTATAACGTTATACTTAATAACTAGGTAACCTTGATTAGCAAATAATGTGAGATAAATACAAGCACATTATCTTTGTGATGCATCCAATTCCAATGTATGAAGTATGTTCAGAATAACGGATTTTTTTTAATTTCACGAGTTTATAGATTTGATTGCCAATTTTTTATTATGTTATGTGGCCTTGAAGCATGCATAACATAACATAACATTTTTAAGTGTATTTATTGTTGAGTTTGTGGCAACCGCTAAATTTAGACATGTTTTTATGAGCTGGTCGATTTTCATTTGTCAAAGGATATAGATAAAAGACTTTGTATCGTTTTACATTAAACATGAAATAGTATAAAGTTTTAATTATGTTAATGACCTATGATGAATCTACTACGAGTATAACTATAATTTAGAGGTGATATGAAGGTTTTTAAAATGGCCGTGAAAACGTTGAAGATGAACACCTCGGACGCTCCAACATATCAACAACTGATAAAAACATGGAAAAAGTAAAGAAAATGGTTATGGACGATCGGCGAATCAAGGAAGTCACTAACTATTAGCATAACGATTGGCTCAAGCCATGAATTTTTTTTTAATATTTAGAATACAAAACACGTAGCAGCAAAATTTGTTACAAAATTCTTGAATTTTTAACATTTTTGTTTAAAATTCAACAATGGAAGAAGAAAGAAGTAACGACGAATGGAAGTCAATGACGATGCAGAATTACTCAAACGTATAATAACAGCTGACGAAACATGGGTTTATGGGTGTGACGTCGAAACTAAGGCTCAATCGTCACAGTGGAAGCATCCTGACTCGCCAAGACCAAAAAGGCTCGACGAGTGTAGAAGAATGTAGAGATTATGCTCACTATTCTTTGATATTAGCACAGTGCAACATGAAGTCTTGCCACGAGGTCATTAAAAAATATTACAAACAAGTTCAACGCCGTTTACGTGAAGCAATCTGTATAAAATTCACGGATATGAAGAAAACCAATCCATGGATTTTGCACCACAATAATGTGCCTGTTCACATTTTATTGCTTGTTCGTGAATTTTTGACCAAAACAATACTGTAGCGATGTCTCAACCTTTAAATTCGCCAAACATGTGACTTTTCCTATTTCTAAAAATAAAGAGAACCTTAAATTGTCACCGCTGTTTTAAAGGCATAGATGATATTGAAAACAGTTCATTGAAAAAATTAAAAGCTATCCCGAAGACCGAGTTTTAGAAGTGTTTCGAGAATTGGAAGGACCACTGGCATACCTAATGAGGACTATTTTGAAGGCGCTAACATTAATGTTTTCGAATTAATAAATATTTTTTCGAAAAACAGAATTTACCACTATTTTTTAACATACCTCGTACTATAAGTCTCTTGAAAAACAAGGTATTATTTAAATTTTAATAAAAGGAAAGTCTGTAAGATCGAAGACTTTTATTACACGCCTTTCGA